CTATCACTGACTTGGGCCGGCTGTGGTGGGTGGCGGGTGAAGAACTCGGTAATGTTTTGATGACTGGGCGACCTTGTGCGCACCCTGCTCGCGCCGCTGTCTGCGTAAAAGGGTACACACACCGCGGAAAGTGAGCATTCCGGTTTCGGCAGGGTACCGCGTAAACGTGGAAACGCGTAAAGTGGGACCGCGTAAAGCGAGGGTTGACTGTATAACCTTTACGCCACGGGTGACGTTCCAGAATGCGTGCCTTTTCCCGCCACTGTTTGAATGCCCAACGCTGGTTATCAGGTTCCAGTGTGGCTATTTGCCTGTCACGCCACTCGCTCAGCCACAGGGAAGCTTCCTGAATGCAAGTGCCTACTTTTGTTTGTTTCATTTTCATTGTTTGTCCATTTTATCATGCTGTATCAAAGTAATATTGCTAAAAGTAGTATACTGTAGTTGTATTGTAGTGTAGTATTACTGGAAAATAATGCTATGATTATGTTATAAATGTATTTATTTGTGGAATTATTACAATAATTATTTTATGCATTACTTTTACTTTTATCCTCTTCACCACTGATCGGCTTGTTAGCCATTTGGGTGATTGGTCACGTCTCTGTTATGTACTGTTGGCAAGTACTGGGCAGGCACCGGCTCCTGAATGTACCTGAACCTGCTCCAGTGTTGGTCAAGTCTGGTCTTGAAAGAGCTCACACTCGGTGCCGTCACAACACTTTCTGGCAGATTGATCCAAGAGTTCACAATTCTCACTCCGAAAAAGTTTGCCCTCACAGTTTTCTGGACTTGTGGCTTCTTCAACCTGGAGCTGTGATCCCTTGTGGGGCGGGAGTCCGCCAGCTCCAGGTGTGTACATTCGACTGAGTAGTGCCCCCTGAGATGTTTATACACCTTAATTAAGTTGCCCCTCACCCGTCTGTATTATAAGCTAGGTAGTTGCAGGCGCTTCAATCTCTCTGGGTGACTGAGGTTCCATAGAGCAGGCACCAGTCTGGTGGCCCTCTTTTGGACATTTTCAATCAATTAACAATCTCCAGCATACCTTGGGGACCAGACAGGGTAACAATACTTCAGATGGGGAAGCACCTCACTCTTGAAGATTGTGATGAGCGATGGACCATCCAGATATCTAAACATCCTTCTTATAAGACCTACTAGTTTCGTTGCCTAATTCGCCTTCTTCTCACAATGGCCCGAGAACCTAAGTTCATTGTCGACATACACACCCAGGTCCTTTTCGCATTCAGTCTCAATTAATGCAGTCTCTTTGTCCTGTTGGAACATGTGATACACCACCTTACTATTGGTGTGACTCAGGTGCATCCTCTTGCACTTCATGACATTGAATCTTAGGAGCCATTTCCTTGACCATTCTTGAAGTTCAGAGAGATCTTTCTGCAGCTCTTCACAGTCTGTTTGGCTCTTAATTTCCCTAAATAACTTGGCATCGTCCACAAACACATGTATGGAAGAGTGTACAGCTTCTGGCATGTCATTAATGAAACAAACAACAACTGGCCCAGTACACTGCCCTGTGATACCCTGCTAGTCACAGGTACACATATGATTTCATCCCATTTATCACCACACACTGTTTGCGGACTAGTGAATAGGACCATATCTATAGTTTTTAATTATAATCTATAAAAAATTAATAAAAATAAAAATATTTTTTATTATGTAATTCATTGCTATATATAAAACATCAAACGGGGTCTTACTGCAATAAACACATACATAGAAATGTAATATTATTTTTACAGTAATTTTATGTAGCTGGCATCATTTGCAGCATATTAAAGTATCAGGATGCCAAAATACAAGTACAGGGTGAACAGAGTCAGGATATCCTCCTCAGGGTATATATAACTTTTTAGTTTTCTGTGTGTTTAAAAATGTTTCTTTTTTATTGGGTTACCAAGAAAGAACATTGATAATTCTGTACAGTATTCAAAAGGAAAATAAATCATAGTGTAGTAATAATAATTAATGGTTCAATTTTCAATTTCAATTGTTTATTCCTTGATAGAGGAAGCGGGATCCAAGTAATTAATGGTTTATTGAAAGAGTTCTGCAACCTGAAAGCTGAAAACATACATTTGATATAAATGACTTATTACATACATTGACATAGGGGAGGGGGTTAACAAAAACTTTCATTAGAGAAAGGTAAAGGAACATTCAGTGAACATTCAAGTAATATTTGCAGCGGAGATCACGTAGGCCACATGCACTGAGGTGTTGAACAACAAACACGTGGTGCAGTATATACCCTCACAGATGGTGTTATGAGGGACCTCACATGGTATAGGACAGTAATTCCCTCACAGATGGTGTTATGAGGGACCTCACATGGTGTAGTAACTCCCTCACAGATGGTGTTATGAAAGGCCTGACATGGTTTAGTAATTCCCTCACAGATGGTGTTATGAGGGGCCTCACATGGTGTAGTAACTCACTAACAGATGGTGTTATGAAGGGCTTGATGTGTAGTAATTCCCTCACAGATGGTGTTATGGGGGATCTCACATGATGCTGTAGCAACTCATTCACTACGTGGTGTCGTAGCGTTATGGAGACACCACGTGGCCTGGTATAACAGGACCTCGCTCACTCAAGTGGTGTACAGTCAGGTGCGGTCCCAGGCCTCTCTATCATAGACCGATTAACACATCGCTGTTTATTGTTGGGTCTCACAGACAGCTATCACTGGGTTAACTTGAGTACGACTCCGCTGGTACTGTTGCATTGTTTTCACTGGCTTAAGCACTGTTCATCAATGTTCAACACTGGTTCCATTCCTTTCCAAAATGAAATTGTAACTTGTTGATATTCCAGTGAGGAGGAGGGGTTCAAGGGAGGGAGTTGGGGTGTGCCAACATAACAGTTGACTTGGCTGCTGCCAGAACAGCACCAGATACGCCTTGACCATTTGCTGGTCAAGGATGAAGTGTATGGGTAAACAGTGTAATATAACATTATAAAACTGACATTTTGTTTTATCAGTTCGATCATTTGTTATTACTGTACAGGTATCCTTGAGATACGAATGGGTTGGGTTAAAAATGAAAATTGTTAGGTGAATTTTCAAATCGGATAGCAAAAAATAAGGGAAAAATAAGGTTCGGTTCCCCAATGACAAAAATAACCCAAAACACGAAATCGGTTCTCAAACAAGAAAAACGACTCCCTAACTAATGATTAATAGTACAGTAATACCCCGCTTAACGCGGTTTCGCTTAGCGCGATTTCACACACATCTGGTAGGGAGGGTTGGTGGGAGGTGGGGGGAGGGAGGAACCGACCGACCATCTGTTACGGTGTGAAGAATATTTTTTTTTTTTTTATTAACTGAAGATATTTGTTTTAGCTCATAAAATTCATACAAATTATCCTGTCAGAATATAATTTACATTGCTGGAATTCTTACAATTTGATGATCATTTTGATTATAAACATCATAGATTTTGCATTAGATATACAAATTTTAGATACAGGTAGTTCTGCTATAACGCGATAATTGTGTTCTTGTAAAATATCGTGTTATAGAAAATCGCGTAATAGAAATAACAGGGCTTATGGAGCAATGTCAATTATAGGATATCCTATTCATATCTAATAATGAAATCATACAGTAAATGTAACACTTTACTTGATGGGGGAAAAGGGTGATTTTGAGGTTGATAAAATCGAGCTTCTCTTCAAGTGTTATATCCTTTCTTTTACGATCATCACCGGGAATTCTATCACCAGAACGCTTCTTGTTGATATTCTTCTTTACTATATTCACAGTTAATACAGTACCACAAAATTGGAGAAATGGTAAGCAAAAATCGCGTTATAGCAAACAAGCGTTCGCGTTCTACAAATATTTCTCTTAAGCATTAATTGTGTGCATGTACCATCATAAAATTAAGATGTTATTTTTACTAGAACATAGGTATTGTGTCGGAAAAAGTAGAGTTTGGGGGTCCGGCCAGTCTCTATTGGAATTAATCCCATATGTTCTGTTGTTCACTTAACGCGGTTTTCACTTAACACAGTACCCTGTGGGTTCAATTGACCGCGTTAAGCGGGGTACTACTGTACACAACTACTGAAATTTACTACCTAACACATGAAAACATTAATAAAATACTATCTAGATGAAAATATGCAGCTAAACCTATTAAAGATAAGCTAAATTAAAGTTCAGCAGAGGCAGGAAATATGACTGCGAACAGCTTTACATTTCCCGCCTCTGCTGACTGTTAGAGCGGCCAAGGTTCCAAGTCTGTCACACTCATTCACCAACTTTCAGAGGCCGTGTAATATTTCAATGTGATTCTGATCTTTTAAAATGTTAGTTTTTGCATAATGTAGTATTACTGAAAGGTAATTTGGCTTAGTATGCCTTATGGTGGGTAAAAATAAGTATACTCTGTATATTAAATGCTTCCTCCAAAAGCATGAATTTGCAACCAGAGTTTAACAGTTAATCTATGTACAGTATAAGATTTCTGATAAACTACGTACTTGCTCATGTTTGAAATAATGAATGTATAGTATACTGTACTATATCTTTATATAATTTAACTAAATATCTTTCTCGTCAGAAACGATCATTTCAACGATTATGAATAAACTCACTTAGAAACGCATCATTACTTCAGAATGAAATCAGACAGACTTGCAACAGCCAATCAGCTGTAACTTTTGAGGAGGGGTGGGGCATCTCTTCCCAGCTGGGAAACAATGCACTATAGTCAGGGAAGGGTGATCAGTACAGGTATACCCCACTTTATGATCATTTGATATACATAAATTTGCATATACAAATTTTCCTAAATTACCAGCTCCTTTTCATGTTACACTTATATGAATTTGGGTCCCAGCAAAAATTCAAATCACCCGCCCCCAGAAGTCAGCTGGGGTGGCCACATCCAGCTCTACAAGGCTGAGGTGAGAATTATGGTTATTTTTTTTACTCATAATTTTGGATAGATAAACATAACTTTCTTAATATTTTTTTATTCAGTTACATGCACACAATCCTACATACAGAATATGCAAAAAATATTTATTACCAGTATTCTAAGATCAAAAACATAAAGGGTACAAACATTTCTTTGTGGTTGAAAGTGGAAGCGTTGCTAAGGGTCAACAGAGGCAGCGTCTTCAGCCAGGCTGGGTTGCTATGGCGAGGTTTGAGGCCAAGCTGGGTGCATCCACACAAGTGGTGGTTGTGTTAAACTTACACTTGCCATTTCCTTAATTGTTTTTGCTGCATATTTTATCTAGATGGTATTTTATTGATGTTTTTAATGTTAGTTTGTAAATTACAGTACAGGGATATTTATGTACTACAATAATTATCATTAGTTAGGCAGGTTTTGTTGTTTGTGAACCAATTTCATGAATGCTGATAGCTGGGTGATGGCCACAGATCTTGAGTTTGAAGGTAACTATTCAAAGTGGCTGGAAGTGAAAGATCATGCAAGTACAAGTAGCAAAAACTGGCAATCTTCTTTAAGACTTTGCACCCCATTCTGGCATTCTATTCATGTAATAATCATTCAAAGGATTTTTATTACAAACAATTAGTCTGCTTATCTTTATAATTTATTTTTGGTTCTTCATTCTCTTGAAATTTCCCTCTTGTGTTTGTAGTCCACTCATAAGCAGTCCAATCTTTCTTTTGCGTTCAACATCACTGTAAGACAAAGGTATAATATAATGTACTGTATATAAGTAAAAAATAATAATTTTTGTGATTTAAGAATCTTGAAACTGTACACCTAATACTATTACAAGGAGGCACATATGAATGATATAAAATATATACAAGAATAGACTAACTATTTAGTCATGTCTTAAAAACTCAACACTGGGCTATATCCTTGGGCTGTGTCAATGAGTTCTGTTACCTGGGTGACAATGATCAGTGCTGGAGGGTACTGAAGCTAGTTCAGTTGCAAGATTCAGAAGTGGACGAAGAAAGTTTAAGGAGTTGCTGCCTTTATTAACGGCAAGAAGACCTTCCCTCCATGTGAAAGGAAAGATGTTTGCAACTGGTGTGAGAAATGTGATGTTGTAAGACAGTGAAAATGGGTGATTAAAGAGGATGATATATGCAGGTTTAAACGAAGTGAACTGAAAATAGTGAAGTGAATGTGACACCGAGAGATAGGAAATCCTGTTCAGGGTGCCTAGGTATTAAAAGTATCAGTGGAGTTTTGTATATAGGTAGGCCGATATGGTTTGGGCATGTGGAAAGAATAGATGTGATCAATTGGGTTAAGAGATGCATAAGTGTAAATATGGAGGACAGCTAGAGGTAGGCAAAGGATGACATAAGGAGAGGTAAAAAATTTATTTGAATCTGCAAACATCAGCTGATCACTAGCACAGATCTGCACGATTCCCAACACCCTACGCTGTATTATTCCATCACTTACCTTGAGTCTGAACAACTGCATTCCAGGAAAAAGTAGTTCAGACTCAAGATAAGTTTTATAAGTGTTACTAAAGTGTTTTGAAATTTTGGAATTAGTGTTGAAGTGAGAAAAGGTGGTGTCTTAGGGATTTTTTTATGTATGTTTAGAGGCTGCAATACCCTAAACTGTATTTCACATTGAACAATTTAACATGATTCAAATTTGCACAACAAATCTCATTCCCACTCTCATATCAAATCAGGGATCTACTGCATAGAATCATTATTAGAGCTGTTTCCAATACCCAGTGAAACCCGCACATATTGCTCATAGGTAAGAAATAGAACTATTGTGAGTACATCTCTATTGGAACTTCCAATGATATACTGATGTTTCTTATAATGTTCTGTTTTTCAGGAACACATCTAGAGCATTATAAGAAGTGTCCAGTAGTCTTAGTGACAATGATATGAACTCTGTAAGCAAATTGGACAGTTGGAGGAGCTTTCAATCTGTGTAGGTTATAACTCACTTTGGTTCACTTAATATAATTTAATGATTATTATATTTATTTCTGTGTCTTTTATGGTGAGGTGCATGATGTATTCTGTCCCTTGTAGTGGGGAGTAGTCAACAATTATAGACAAGATATAAAACATTACTATTACTCACCTCAGAAGCACCTCTTTTAGCTGTTGTCTGGCCAAGAAAGCTGTGTCTCTCTGAATCTCTCTTCTAGCACCTTTTCTTTCCCGTTTCAACTTGTGTGTAAGTTTCTGCTTTTCAAGGTAAGACTTTGTTCCATGATGTTTCTTCACACCTTCAATTCTAAAAAATAGATTTTAATTAAGTATTTACTGTACAGGCATATGAAAAAATAAATACTTATGCAAAAAGATGAAGAATATAGGTTAAGAGTTAATGCTGTACAGATGAAAGTAATGGTTGTTTCCAAATTGAAATAAATCCTAAAAGAAAAATTGTGGATAGCAACAGGGGAATTAAACAAGATGGAAAATTTTGTGTATTTGGGAAGTAACATTATATACTATATTATGGCAAGGACTGTTGTATGGGTCAGAAGCATGGACACTTTCAGTAGGCACCAGAAAAAAGTTAGAAGCCTTTGAAATGTGGCATTACAGGCGAATGTTATGAATAAGTGACACAGACAGGAAAACCAATGAAGAACTACCAAGGTTAGCAAAAACATTAAGAGAAATGCTTGAAATATACAGAAAAAAAATGAGATACTGTACTTTGGTCATTTAATTAGGGATGAGGGAACAATAACAGAAATATTAATGGGCAAAGTTGAGGGTAGGAGAGCCAAGGAAAAAGAGACTGGGATAGATGAGTGAAATTAAAAACTGGATCCCAAGAGAGATACAAAATCTTGGAGGATTGGTAAATAAGCCTAAAAACATTTCAAGTGGAGGACTGTGGTTGCCAACCCTCGGGTATGAGTGGTACTCAGATTGATTTGTAATATGGATTTAACATTCTCCATTTATAAAACAATTCTTACAGCTAAAACCACTTGACACAACCACATTTTAGACTTACATTTCTTCAATTGCTGGTTCATACATCTTGATTGATACAGGTCTGCCTTCTGCCTTAACAAGTGGCTGCCCTTGAATAGGCAAGGATCTAATTGCTGACAATAATTCCTCTACTGTCTTGTTCACTGAGTCTGGGTAATTTTTTAAGGAAAGGGACTCCAGAAGTTTAATTGTGGGTGCCATTATGGTGCGTATTGAAGGAAGTTGTGACCAGCAATTGCATAACTGTTTAAGAAGTTTTGTAGTTTTACACAAGATGTTAATCTTGAAGGAATCAGTCAATTCTGCTTCTGTGTTGTTGATACTGGCTAATGTTAGCTTAGATTCTGTATACCTGAAAAACAACAGTTAAGTGTTAATCATATGTTATGCAGTTTGAAGTACATATCATAGTTAGGGACTCAAATTTTTTAATCAAAATTTATTTTCTGTTCGAGCAAACTTCTTCAGCTGACCATGCTCTTAAAATATATACAGACAATAAAAAACACTGCATTCTATAAACTTCAAACAATAATTTTATCATTTGAGGGGGCCAATGAAATAGTTTTTGTCAGTCTACAAGTATCCTTCATTTACCATTAATTTACTTAACAATAATTCTGTTTAGCAATATAAAACATTTAATACCCTTTCTTTATCGTTTAATGTTAAGACAAAACTCGGTGTAGCGATATCTCGACTTGCTAGCAGGGAAGTGGGAAAAACTGGGACTCTGCTCCATGAGTGCATCTCTACTGCCATTTGTTTACGCTACATGCACACCGCCTACTCACCTGTCGTTTCATAGATGTCTTCCATGCTTCGCTGTTATCACTGCGTACATTATTGCTGTGATCACTGTGCCGTTGTTATTACTGTGCATCGCTGTTATCATTGTCACGAGAGTGGTGAAGAGTCTCACACAGTCAACGGTGTTGACCATCATTAAACAGGCACCTGCACTGAAAGCTACCACTGAGCATATATCCACGGTCAGTGCCACTAGGCTCATGAGGGTAAGTGATCCAGTCATGGAGAACACTGAGTAGCTCCTGGAATTGTGGACTGAGGACCAGACTCTCAACGGCGAGTGCCTCTCTCAATCATCACTATCATGGCCAAGGCATCGAAGCTGTAGCAGGACCTGAAGAAGGACGCAACCCTGGGGAGTACTACTGTCTATTTGTTCAAAGCCAGTGCAGGATGGTTTGAGCAGCTCAAGGTGAGATCTAATCTCCATAATTTACGTCTAACGGGTGAAGCAACAAGTGCTGATGAGGTGAGTGCTTTGGCCTTCCCAGAACTCCTTAAGGCAAGGAGAAAGGATACAGCACCCAAGAAGTCTTCAACTTCGATGAAATGGGGCTGTTCTGGAAGAAAATGCCTTCCAGAACCTTCATTGCCAAGGAGGAAAAGATGGCAACGGGATTCAAGGTAGCCAAGAACCATCTCACTGCTACAGAGAGCTAATACTGAGGGTGACCTTAAACTCAAGCTGATACTCGTGTACCAAGCTGAAAAACCCAGAACACGGAAGGGTTACACTAAGGAATATCTTCCCATCATATGGCACTCTAAGGCATGGGTGACCACTGTGCTGTGCCAAAGCTATGTGGTTGGGCTACCTCCAAACATCTCGAGGAGTACATCGACAAGAAAAACATTGCCAATAAATTTCTTCTGATCCTGATTAATGCACCTTCACACTCTGCCAGCTTGGAGGATTGGGCTGACAATATTAAGGTGATGTTTCTCATGCCCAACTCCTCCAACCCATGGATCAGTGTCATTGCAATCTTCAAGGCGTAATATCTGTGGCATATGATGCAGCAACTCGTCACAAATAGACAGAAAGACATGCCAACCACAGAGTTTTGGCGCAATTGCAACATAAAGAAGACGATTAACAATATCGGTGCATTGAGGGATGAGGTTAAAGATTCAACACTGAATGGTGTGTGGCCTGAGTGTGGGTTCATGAGGCTGGAGGAGATTCAGCGCAACACTGTGACCCTGTCGCACCAAGCTGGGTTCGATGAGGTAGACCAAGAAATCATGACTGAACTTCTCGACAGTTACACTAAGGAGATTAGCAATGAGGACCTCATGAATCTGGAACAGAAGCAAGTGATGGAAGAGGAGGAAGCTGAACCAGAGAAACCTGTCAAGTTCCTCAGTATTGACCTGTTGGCAAATCCTCTCCCTTATTGATGACGCACGTATTAGTTTCTCTGAAAATGGTCCTAACCCGAAATGGAGAGCGGAGGTGAAATATTTGGCAGAGAAAGATATTTACTGCTACAGAGACCTCGACATGGAAAAGCGGCAAAGGGTAAGTCGTCCATCATCAGTGTCTTCAAGCCAAAACAAGTGCCATTGATGCCACAGTCATCACTCAGTCTTGGACCCACCTCCTTACAGCTCAGGTGTCACCCACTTCAAGCCGGAAGTTCTCGCCCTACCACCCATCCGAGACAATGCAGACTCTCCAGCCTCATTTTCTGACTCGGAAAGTGAGTGACGTGCCGGCCCTAGCAACAGTAGTCCTCCAGCCTTGGAGAGAACACATGATGACGACTTTGCTTTTGACGTGGACTTGGTGAGTGTTACTTTACTGTAGTTTATTATGATAGCAAATTACCGTTAAATACAGTGCATTTAGGTGAATAAATTCCAGAAGACCGATTCCGTGTTATCCCTTGTTTAGCGATAATTTTGCTTAACGTTAGGTTTTCAGGAAAACCCAATCGGGAAAAGAGAGATACCTGAAGAGTGTAGCCTAATAAGAAATATTCTTAAACTATTCAACAAAACATGTTCTGGCTAAGAGTTGGACTTCAGTTGCGCATCAGACTTGTGTGACATCGGAACTGTAACTCCCTACAGCTAATCATAAAATACATGGTAGTCACTCTCTTCTGCTGTATGTTACTCATTTGTAAATACAGAATTATCTTGCCAACCATGGGAGTTACATTCTAGAATTTTCTTGTGGTTAGCAAGAGCTTAGTCTAGTGGGAAATATAAGGTTTGGGGAAGTGACCCTGAGAGACATACTTATAATCCTATTATGTACAGCTCAAGGTTACATATAAGTACGTACTGGGTATATATATATATATATATATATATATATATATATATATATATATATATATATATATATATATATATATATATATATATATATATATATATATATAAAACACACCATGCAGGTATTAAAGAAATTATAAAAAAGCAGTTTAATAGAGCAGTCCCCATGATGCCAAGCACCTGGCCTGGCCTGCTCCCCTAGAAATGGTAGCAGTGTATGAAGTTTTTAAATACCGTACATACAATGTTTACATGCATAAATGTCTGAATGAACGTTTTTTTTTCATAAGCTCAAATGCACACGGAAAGAAAATTTACAAGTACTGTAAGAGTAGATTGTATCTGCTTGGTACATATGGCCACACTTCTCAGTTGCCCCAAAGCGCTTGCACTTTTGGATTTAGTACATGTCTTTGCGTTTATTTCTCCCATTTGTCCAGTTGAGACTGCCTTCTATCACTCTTCATTCCATGATTAAGATGCAGGGCAAAATCGAACAGAGAGCTAAGTTAATTACTTGTTTATTCTTTGTTTAGATGTCCTAAGGTACAATGGTAATTAATTAGAATGTAACCCAAACTCATTATCGTACATTATTTATTATAACAGAAAACTTTCCCGTCACATGAGCGATGTTAATGACGAATAGAAACATACCATAACTCCCCCATCCCCTCCTTATAATAAGTAAAATATTGAAGGTTCCCTCAAAAATATAAATGTTTTTTGCAATTTAAAATATCTGCTTAAACAAAGCCATATAAAAATTATGTGAATGAACTGCTGAGGCGCAACAGGACCTAAAGGTTAAATGAGCCTAAAAACGGTTTCATAAGTCACTTTGATCAATGAATATAAGTGCAATGGCAAATACAGCTAAAAAAAAAACACTCACTCTGTTACTGTATTTTCCAGTACAAGAAGATATGCAGCAGGTCCAACTGGTTTAAATGGTGGAGTTAGTGGAAGATGTACTTTTTTTTTAGCTCCAATGGCAATGAAGAGCAGACCATTCAGTAGGTTTGTTAATTCTGGAACGAACCTTTTGGACTGGCTTAAATACTGTAAGAAAATAAATAAGAAATCACAATTATATTTGTTAACTTAAAAATTATAATATAGAAACAATATAAATGTATAATCTACAACCACAATCTGCAGTATTTAGCAGTTGACATTAACTGATTCTACTAAAACTCAACAGATGAATGACCACAAAAGATGGAAGCCATTACGAAAATGGCTTCCTTACTATACATGTATGTATGTATTCTCTTTCTCAATAGGTTAAAAAATGGTCTTTAAAGTTCATCATTAATGTTTCATGGCAATTTTCCACGTTTACCTCTGTTAGCCACAATTACCTGATGTGGCTAAACTACCAGTAAGTTAATATACCTTAATGCCTTTGAATGTTTTTGAGCTTCTGAGTTAAATCACCATTGTAGTTAAAAGCTACAAAGTTCCTAAAGCAACAGCAGTAGCAATAATAATAATTAGTGTAAAATTTTCAAAGTAAATACTACATCCAGCAGTCCTCACTATACACACCGTGTATTTTTCAAGATCATACCTATAATATGAAACTTACCTCTAGCAAAAGATGTGTTGAAAATAATGCTGCAGTGATTTCTCTTTGAGACACAACCTTGGCTTGACCCAGCAAATGAGTCAGGAATGTCATCACTGGAGTCATTATTGGGTGAATATAATCTGAAGAGGGGAAAAGAATCCCAGCAATTTTTAGGAACACAAACTGCAAAAAAAAAAAAAAAACCTTATTACATCAGTGATTATGATACAGTAAAAAATAAATAAAAATATTATATTCTTAAAAATATGCAAATTTCCAATGAGAAATATTTTTTAATTTGAAAATCAGGAACCAAGTCAGTTGTATGCCGAATCTGTGGGACACTGGATCAGTTGGAGGCAACAGGCTGTGACATACTATTTTCTTTGTTGTGTGTGCAATTTTCTTCATTTATGTAGTTTTCCTTATATTTCCATGATGTGCTAAATGCTGTACAGTTCTTGCTTGTTTTTTTAAATAAACCTTGTTCAAACTAACTAATTCTATATCAAAATCACCACATGTAGCTTAGCTGTTTCTGGGGCAGACAAGTAGTGTACTAACCGTGTTGGCCATTGGATATCTCTTGAATTTTGACTGTGAACACTCCTCATACTTCTCTAGTAGTACCTGAAAACAGAGAAATATGCATATTGACAATCTTTTTCACATAATTATCACACCAAGAGGGGATAAGAAAGAGAAAAATAGTTTTATAGTATGGAGGGGGGGAGGGGGACTCTATTTTTCTCATCCAAGTGTTATCCTGATAAGAGAAACCTTTGTACTCCAAGGGATGCTGATATAGTGTGCTTGACATATAGATTAAAATAACATTCAATAATGATATCCAACTACACAGAAGAATACCAGGTATTAGAAACTGTGTCAGCCACCATATAATACACAACTGTCTATGTAAAAGTAAAATGTGACTCTGTTTCTGGGACAGTTTGATGGCTTTATCAGCAAGCCAAATGCCCCAACCAATGTGTTCATTTAATTCTCACTTTGTTTTATTTTTAAGTCTCTCTATAACACACAATTTACACAAATATATGCCTGTTTGAACTGGCTCGCTGATCCCCCAAGGGTTTATAAATGAATTACCGAGTAGCCATGAAAATCAGATGTAAGCACACAAAATCTCCCCAATACTGGCCATCCTTGTTATATGTGAGTTCAACATATGTGTATTGGGTTCTATATGTGGACCTTATTTCTACCACAAATTCATTATATACTGTACAAGATAAATTGGTCTTGACTCTTAGAGACATTGCTCCACCTCTATGTGGGTACAGGAGAGCTAAAGCCAAGCATGCCACAAGCATGTCTCACATAACCATTGTACTGAGTGGGTATGTGCTGCTTTTGCATATTTCATGTCTTGTGTACTGCTCTTAAAATCCATTACATTATTAATAGGGCTTACAAGCTTTCCTGGGACAACAGATGTGATTAGATCTTCTATTATTTATCAATGAAACACAAATATACAGTATATATTTTCAGGAATTAATAGCCTTCACCAAGGACAGAAGCCATGTGGCTACAGCATTCGCCTCCTGTTATATGGGTCACTGGTTTGCACCCACAGCTGTTAATAATTATCTAACTTCACAGTTGGGGGAGTGAATACAAATAAGTGCAGTAGCAGTCACACTGCTTTCTGGTATACCAAAAGTAAGCTTAATCTACTGAGTGCTGTACCCGCATCAGGTTTATGGGACCCATAAATTAAGTCCTCACCAAACATTGCCCCCGTTAACATTGTTTCGTTATTATGTCGATACTACTGTATTTCTATACCGAGGCTCCACACAACATTGTGTGAAATCATAATTACGTTGTCGGCCAGACAGTACTAATTTGCTCCACACAACACTTTCCCTCTCCTGCCTAGTGATGTACAACGTCACCGCGGAGCATTAGTCTCACAACCTCGGCCAAGTGTGGATGCATCGTGTGTTCTGTGAACCTTGTGTTCACCTTGTTTACGTTATTGTTCTAATTTGTTCATTAAAATCGCTTCAAAAAGACCACCAAGTGATATTGATTTTGTTCTAGCATTCAGTCGTATACAAGATGGATTGGATATGGTGGCTGAAGATTACCCTAATAGAGAACCTAACTCTAAAAGTGCACCGAAATGACATGGATAATCTTCAGTGCTTCTATGAACTACACAAAGAGAAGAAGAAGCAAACCAGGCAGTTAACACTGGATGCTTTTATTCGGAAGGGAGGAAAACAGATGGCAGGAGAAGAAGCACAAGACAACCCCCAGGCAGTGGGGGAAGGGGAGTTGGATCCTATGAATCTCAATGATTCGTGCCACCCTCCCTCCCACCACTCGTTCGCTTCATCTTTGGCCATCGGTGAGTACAATATATCTCACTAAATGTTAATTAAACATTACTGTAGTTTATACTTGTATGTATTTACACTGCAAAATATACTGTATAAGTATTTACAATCAGTTTACATTGTCTTGACTGTGATGCCTGTTATGGGGATGAAGGGAAGCTGGGAATGAAACCTACTTATTTCTTAAGTTTCTTATGGGAAAAATTAATCCACTTAACGTTGTTTCACATAATATAGCAGTTTACAAGAACGTAACTACGACGTTAACAGAGGACTTACTGTATACCAAAATAACATCAACTGTGTAAATGTAACAATATCTTGGCAAATGGCAACACTGTGTTCATACTAACCTGCATGAGAGCCTTTGCAGAGTTTGCTGGTGACACCTGAGTGATTGTGAAGATGTGTTGTATGAAAGAATCCACATATATCATTGGTGACACCCCAGGGATAGGAGAATCACCATCTGGATCCGTTAATACATGTAAAGTCTGTTGAAAACATATTAAGAGTTAGTGCCGGGTATATAAATAAATATAAAAAATGGTATTCCTTATGTAACTAGAGAGAGATGTAAACATTCTAAATTACAAATGGAAAGGTGTGTGAAAAAGCAAAGAGCATAACTTTGATTAATTTTTTTTGGTAGAGATGTGCTGCTTATGGGTGGTGCAAAGTTGAATGCAGTGCCAGGATAAACAAGGTTGATACTTGGAGCTTGTTGTGGGAGGGGAGTACCATAACCGACTACAGTAAACCCTTGTTATTCGCGGGGGATAGGTTCCAAGGAATGGCGTGAATTGGCAAAACTGCGAATAGCGACTTAAACTACCTTAGTGCACTACTGTATACCTATACCAAACAACTGACCAGCCACGGCAGCACTCATCCCCCTCTTTTAACTTATCTAATAATTCAGCCTTCTTTGTCAGGGTTATCCCTGACTTCTGCCTTTTACGTTTCACTCCACTAGCACTGACACTAGGCAGTCTTTTAGGGGCTATTTTCACACAGAAACACTAAAGTTTTGAGAGTAAAACATGAGATGCTGTGTGGGGTGTCTCATTGTGCCGCAGGAAAAGGCTCGCAAGCTAGCCACCATCTGCTTACCGCGAATCGCAAACCCACGAATGCCCAGGGTCTATTGTATATCTATTACAGCAGTAAGAATAAGTGAGTGACAATGGATGTAGGTACAGTATCATGTATATTTGCACTTGATTGAGGCCATCCTGCATTAAAGTGGAAAAGGCTTAGTGTGAATATACCTGTATAATATTTGAGGTACACACTCCAAAAAGTATCTTTATGGAGGGAATCGAAGATTTTCAAAATGAACACTGTGACTCCTTTTGTCTCGGTAGGGTTGTCAAAATCCTTCGTCCGTTGTGTCATATTGTCTCACGAAATCATAAAGATACTTTTTGGAGCAAGTGTACACCTAGATTATACTATATGAAATATCCCTTCAACACTTACACATACTTTGAGTACTGTACATACAAGAACTACTATTTAACACAGCAAAACTTCATAGTAATCCAGTAAATAGCACACCAATAATATGACATGAAAATAAAAAAAACGAAGAAAAAAAAACACTTGCCTGCAAGAGATACGCATATATATCATCACATTTGTCCTTGTTATTGTTGCCTAAACTTGGGTGGTTACACGTTATCATTCGCTCCAAGATGAGGCTTACTTCTTTTGGTGAATGATTCTCCAACAAAGCCCAGAAAGATTCATAATCCTGGGGAACTGGAAAAAAAAATACTGGTAACAAAATATTAATCAAAATAAATATTGTCATTACAGTAGTCATTTTATAGTCCATGGTGACCATTTACTGTTTCATGTTCTCTAAGGACCATGGCAACTTTGGTTGGACATCAATGACTCTTAAACCAGTTACCACAGTTTGCAATACTAAACTGGAAGTAACAGATAACTAAAAACATAGTGAGATGAAAAACTAAAGACACATCAAATGATAATATACCTTAAGCAACTGACAAACACTTCACACATTAAACCCACGGGGAAGAATTAAACAGACGGGGAAGAATTAACAAACATATTCATGTTGTTGTTTTTTTGTTTTTTTTGCGCCATTTTGTAGGGTTGTCACCTTCCCAACAGATTTAGATATGCCAATAGATGATTAATATTTTTTTTTTACAGAATTTAATCAAAAGTCACCCCTTGTGAATATTTGTATTTTCTAATCAGGTTAATTATGTACAGTATATCAATGGATGAAGGCTTCTATACTCTACCTGTATATCCATGTCTTCATCTGATTATCTTATACAATATTGTACTGTATTTTAGTGTGTATTCCAATCTATATATACAGCATATAACTAATGTGTGTTCTCTGGGTCACAGTTCCTTATATGTATCATAAAAAGTATGTGATAATTTATGTTTATGGCCTCATTGTAAAAAAAAAAGAGAAGTATTGTACATACTTGATAATACAGTATAGGTTGATGGTCCCTATGAATCTCTCTCTCTCTCTCTCCCTCTCTATTTGCTATCAATCACTCAAACTTGCTCCTGTAACAACTACGGTATGTTCTAAAGCAGTGCTACCTTCAACATCAAAGCATCAGGTTTTTCAAATTGGTTTTATCCTGTCAATGCATACAACCCAGCAGCATGTCCATCCCCCATAAAACCACTTAAAACACTGTATACTGTACTCTCTTATCATACCTGCAAACCACTTCTTCCTGGATCTTCAACCCACAACAGTACCTCCCTCACCTCATCCTTCAATCTACTGTATTTTAATCTCTCTCTCTCTCTCTCTCTCCTTACCCTCAAATGTGTATGGTATTTCTTTTTTTGCTGCTTCCATCATTTCCTTTTTCTTACTGGTAACCACTTTCACTATCTTCTTTTCCCTTGGAGGTTCTTTCTCATCTTCACTTTCACTATCTTCAAGGACATCTGAATATTTGTCACTCTCATCATCATCATCATCACTATCCTCATCCTCCTTTTCCCCTTCATTCTCTTCCTCTTCTTCTTCCCCCTCCTCCTCTTCTGAAATGAAAACAATGCTATAAATATACCCAAAATTGTGATGAATATATCACTATACCACATTCTACTCGCTATTTCAAACTTATTAATACTTCCAGGAAACTTGTCTGCATCACAAATCACAGTTCAAAGTAAAAGTAAACTATAAACACATAGATTATCATGAAACAAGTAGAAAATGGTAGCACACACCTGCACTATTATTATTTTCATCTTGATCTTCTTCATCATTCTCTACTTCATCTTCAGACTCATTCTGTTTTGTTATCATTTCACCATTTTTGTAGCTCACATGAAATCTGTCATCCTTCTCCAAAATGAACCTGAAAATGAAGTTCTGTCATATATCAGAGAGTTTACATGATTTATTCAGAGTGAGATATGACTGATTTTGAGAACCCATTTCTGTAACCAAGAGTGAGTGAATGGTATTGTACTGTTCGTTTACCATCCACACCCATAATGTCCACCACATCATGTTGATTACAGTGGCTGGCGTATTGTTATTCAAGAAAGATCACTAAACAATTTTGGTTCCCAACACTATTCTTTGACTCACCCAACTACAGAAAACATGACTAATTCTCCATCCTTTTCCACTGTAACTACTGTACCACTCTCTATCTCACCCTTCCCATTCCCTAACTTAGGTTAAATGGAAGGAATTTAGATCATATGCTCAAGACCATAAAATGGGATTTCAGGATCAATATCTTACTTATAGTAGGAGTAATGTAAATAATGGTCTTATATATAATAGCTAAAGAAAGCCTGGTAGGTAAAGGAAATTAAATGGAAGGAGATAAAGCAAAGCTGCAAATAGAAATTATGAGTAAATACTACAGTTAAAAGCCATCAAGACTTCCTAGCACAACAGTGTCCACTTGCTTTGCCCCCTTATTGAGAAAACCTTTATCAAGATACACCCCTCTCAGAAATACCCATAAAGGGATTTCCCTGGGGTTTGGTGCCCTTTGTTGATACCGTAGTTTGTCCAAGTGATCTACTAACCATATGTGAGATGTATTCTTTAAACCTTTAGTTTTCAGTGCATAATGCAATACAAGAACATTCTGTTTTAACTGCTTGGTGATCTCTACATATGATGACAGCATATAAAAGAATGAGAAAGGGACTTATCCCTATGTATGTACGCACCCATAAGTTATATCAATGCAGCAGAATTAAACTTACCCATCATCAAGGTCATCTGCACTCTTCATTCCAACACCTGACTTGTCCTGTTCTCCTTTCATCCGCTGCACCCTATCTGCTTCCAGAGATAGCAGTCGCTGCCGTTCTTCCTTAATTAGATCTTCAGGAGTTTTGAGTTTGTTTACTGCTAAAGCCTTCCCACTGCGGTCAAATCCCAGCTCTTTCACTAAGGTGTCATAGTCTCTGAACTCGCAATTTTTCTTGGCCTAATAAAAATCAGAGTATTATTTTATACTGTATTTGACTAAGGGGGTATAAGAATTCAATCACTTTAAATAAATATGTAACAGGATTGAAAAAAAAGATACTTAAGTCAGGATTAGAAGAGTTTACATTTTAACAGGTAATAGTGATACTGTATTTTCCATATAAAAAAAGCTGTTGTGTTTTCTTGCTGTGTGTACATGCAACAACCCCTGAATAAACTTGAATTGTCCAGCCCTAATATATGTACATTGTAAATTTTCATTAATTGGTTCATTACTTTTGAAGATATTACAGTAGATTTCTTTTTCTACCAGGGAGAGGTATGACAATATGGATACTTCTTTTGTTTACTATTTAATTTTTTTACTAAGATAAAAGTGTATACAGTACATACAATCTAACCTGGTCTAACTTTACAACCAAAACTAACAAGACTGATTCTTTTAACTTAAGACCCACTAATATTTCCTAGAGAAGAAAATCTTAAGTGTTATGGAACTTAAGATTATATTCAGTGTAAGGAAAGTACATCAATATCTCCTAAATAATCTGGGTTACAGCAAAGAAATTCATCAAGCAATAACACGTCACTTACAAAACACAGTAGAACACCTGAAAATTCTTTACATGTTTAATTTTCTTTGCACGTACCACTTGATAGCAGATGTTTCAATACAATATTATTACTCAGCCTAATTCTGTAATATACATAAGCAATACAATTTACCTTGATTTTATCTTCATCAGTGAGTGTATAGTTCGCCATGATCTTCATAAAGGACTGAAGCTCGGCATCCAACTTACTGACAGCTTCGTACTGCTCCTCTTTCTCTTTTTTTGATTCAGCCTTCTTCTTCTTAGATTCAGCAATGATTTCATCAATCCAGTCCTTCCTACTCTTTGGTTTGCCATCCCCTTTGTCATCATCTCCTTGGTCCTCACTCTTGGTCAAAAATCCACCACCACCAAAATGTTGCTTCTTGACAAATTGGGCTTTTGGATAAAAAGTGATAACATTAATTACCTTTCACTCTCTATCTCTCTCTCACTCACACACACACATAATATAATAAGGTTCAATCTTAATATCAGAAGAAGCAAGAAGCTCTGCAATATAAAACAATGTCTTACCATCAAGCATGTCATCATCTTCATCATCACTGATGTTCAATTTATCATTTAGGTTGGCATCAAGAGAAAAACCTCCATGAGTTAGTTCTTCATCATCATTCAAGTTGAAGAGTGATTTCTGTTGGATAAATATAAAATATTTTATCCACAGTACAGTTCACTTAAAATACTTTTCATTAAAACTACTAATACATTACATCTACACTGTTTTGCTTTGTTACATCTTTAAGTATAGACTGGTCACTTTTATTAATTACAGTAAGATCTTGTATTTCGCGAGCAATATAGACTGGAAAAATTGCGCCAAATGCAAATACAGTACATAAGCTAATGGGAAAAATAACAATATAGACTGGCCACTCTACATCAACCTCTGATTTTCCCCATTTATAACCTCCAAATGATACATGTTCTGCCTTTATTGACTTGATTGTGCTTTCCGGAAACTAGTTTTTAGGCCTTCCTCAAGTAATTTAATCACACGCTGCTTATCCTGCATCGAGTACTTGGTAAACTTAACTCCCTTGTGATAGTCCCGCTTCTCCTTTTCCTTATTTGACCGCTTAGGTGGGTCTGTCCCACCCCCACCAGCACCAGTAGGACCCCCAGTAGAGGGAGAGGCCATTATCTTGACTCGACAGGTGGTAGCACCACCCAAAAAAGCACACAATAACAGCCCGGGCGGTCGCTAGGATGGCGCGGGTTACAACAGGATAGCTGCATTGTAAACCTCTTTTACTTTCACCACCGGCAATTCGATCACCAGAACACTTCTGGAAACATTCTTCTTACATTGTCTTTCCGTATTCATCGCTACCACAACAAAATTGGAGAAAATAGCGAAAATCACGCAATTCAACTGATCACATGATGTAAACAGAGAGCGCTGGTGTAACCGTTATTAGTCCTCACTGCAAAACATTCTTTTTACTTATTCTTTTCATACAGTATTTTTGGGTAACTAAAAAAAATAAATTTATAGAGTACCTCTCAATAAACACTTCACAAACGAAGGACACGAATCAATTGAACATGTGATGTTGAATGTGAACTATAAACATTGAATAACCCCGCTCCACACTTAAAATGTTGAGGATGGAATCAAAACATTGAGGATGGAATCGCGCTATAGCCAACATTCGTCTGCAAAAGTTCGCGTTTTACAAATGGCATTCCCCTATTCACCAATCGTGTTGCAACCAATTCGCGTTGACAAAACACGCGTTGTAGCAGAAATGACTACCTATAACTGGTATGAGGGCTGGATCTCGCGTTCAGCTGGCTGGATCTCGCGAAATTCACGATATTTTACGCCAAATATAAGACTTGGTTACATTAGGTAATGCTAGCGAAATTCAAAAACGCAAAATATGAGATCTTACTGTATTCATTTTTCTTGAGGATTAATTTACACAAACTACCACTTAGCACATAATAGCTAGCCTATCATGTCACAAATATTGATTTAAAAACAGTTGGCCAGAGCATACGACAAATAAAAGTAAATTTGGATAATTTATTATATGCCTGTAGATTACAGTATACAAAATTATGTACAGTAGTTGTCATCATAATCATACTTGTTTAACATTTTTCTTTACTTCACAATGTGTAGTAGGAAGATATAATAGTACAGGTATATAAATACAAAGGGTACTGATTTACAATGGTATTATTTTTTTTATTAAACAGTCTTAACAAATCAGGGACAGTTTTTCTATGTAAGCTGTGGCTGTCAAATATACCATCATTTTTGATGCAGTGAGTTTAAAAAAAAAATCAATATGCATACCAGAAACACCATATGGCAACAATGCCAACAACTGAGTATTTATAGTGGCAATGCCTCACCCCCCAAAAAAAAGCACTGAGTGATAATCTGTGATTTTTCTTGTGCCATCTTTCAAAAAGAGCTGAACCATGAGTGGAAAACATCTGGCAGTGCTCCTACAAGTACACCCACCAAGGAGTATGCAATCTGGTTTTGAGTGTAAATATATACACACACAGTACTTGGAAATACTGTATATATGCCTTCTCATCTACAAGTGTGACTCCTAAACTACTTTAATTGTAAAATATACAGTAACTGTACAGTAATTGCAAACATATATATCACATTACCTTATTAAATTGCCTTTTCTTTTCAGCAGCAAGTCGGAGTACCATCTTTTTTTCAGGGTCCATATTTGAGTCATTTTCACCAATCCGTCTATCAACAAATACATTACTCTTGTTGCGTACTTTATATTCTTGCAGCAAAGTTCTCTCCCTCTGTAAAATTGACATAAGGGTCATCATAGTATTTCATTATGACAGATTACATACTAATTTGATCAGACACAATATTGTTGTCTGAATTTTTATGGAGAGAATTGTGGGTAGCTAAGTCCAGGGATGAATGTTAAATTAAATACTGTATACAGTATATAAAAGAATGATATTAATAAGGAAGTAATGGTATATGGAGACCAATATTCTTACTACAGAACTTTAATGCAGTTGTATGGAGACCTACAGTAAAGGAGAAACAGGTATCAGTAATGTAGTCTTTCTTAATAGATTCTCCTGTATTGTAATCGAGTCATAACAACTGATTAAGGTAATAAAAAATCTTTAACATCAGTAAAGTGATTAGTATCATTCTGAACTAGAATCAAAGTCTCCTTTGATAAGCATTCAGCAATAATATCAATTCATTTATAATGTAACACACAAGAACACTGTCAGTCCTCGTGGCAATGGTATCAGTTTTTAATCAAACAAATAATTCTTGCTCAATATTTAGAATTTCCTAGCTACTACTGGTAGCTGCAAACCCTGGTTGTACAAATAATGATTTCTATAAATGGGTTTAACATAGTATGTCATCATCATTAATCTTTTATGTACATTTTCAATGTTTGCATGGGTTAGCTGTGATTAAATGATGGCAGATCTCTAGTATGCACAATTTCTTGCTATCTCACTGGTTGTGTGTTTATCACCAAGATCATTTGTCACTACCTCTCCCCATGTCATGTTCCCACCACACCCACTTTCAAGCAGTTGAAACATCTTTTCTACTACAGATATACTGTACTGTATATAAGGTTATTTCTCATTACAGTACAGTACAGTACAGTATTGTGTGTGCAGTGTTTCACCATGCACTAAGCCTTTCAAATTGTTCAAACAAGAAAAGTTAAGTGAACAACTAAAAAAATATATGTGCTAATTTAGTGTCACTCTGTGCTCTTTAAGAACATGTCTGTATGTAAATGACAACTACTTTTCCAGGAGAATGAACAAATATTGAAAAGACTGATGATTGAGTCTGATAGGGTGTATGGCAGAGGAAAATCAAAGAGTATATAAGAAAAAGTAGTCTGATAAAGTAGATTTTGGAAATACCTGTACAGTATATAACAACTGGTAAAACTGAGTAAAGTAAAATGAATAGTTACAATGAAAAATACTGGGAGTATGATAGGGAATGAAGGAGAAATATGAAACTGAGGAATAACTAGTACGGTATAAATATATACTGTAAATACTTCTTACCCTGAGATATGACAGTGAAACACGGACATGAAAAAAAAAAGTGCCTTAAATTCAAGCCAAATAAATTAGTCATCTGAAGGCTGCATTTGGTATTAATACTGGACAGAACTAAAGCGATGAGAAACAGTTGAGAGTATGGGTGGTCTAGAATAGCTGAGAGGGTATGGTGTACTGTATAGGTGTTCAAAGATCGTTTAGGATGCCAGAGGAAAGGGTGACAAGGCAGATGTAGAAAAAAAAGAATGTTGCAGGATATATTGTTGAGTACAGGTATATGCAGAGTGGAAGTCTACAATGATGAAGGGGAAGGATAAAAATGATGAATAATATATTAAAGAGGGAAGAGGCTCAGGGGTAAATAGAATAGAAAGGTAAAAGATATTCCAGTATGTAGTGACCAGGAAACTTAACACTTTTCTGGCATAGCAACTCCCCAAAGAAGTGAGGCATCAGAGATATAGAATAAGGTACCAGGTAATATCTATCTCCTTATACAGTACCGTATCAAACTCCTGCACAAAAACTACAATAATAAAATCAACTATTGAATCTATACTGTTACCTTCTTTACTGCCTTAGCTCTGGCAATTCCTGGTAAACCACGATCATCCTTACTTTTACGGCCAACAACATCATGTTTTACTCGGTTAATGTGGATTTCAAATGGATTATGCTTTTTTTCTTTTGTTTTTTTATCCCCAAAAGTCATGGGCTTATACTTTCCTTTCTTGCTCATATTTAACTTCTTGAACCTGAAAAAGAACGTCAAACTTTATATTTTAACCAATGCATTACATTAATTCTTCAGCTGTAAGTAGATGCCTGTATGTGAAATATTTTAATTGTTTGGCACAGATTTTACAAGAATCATTGTCCATAAAATCAAATACTGTACTTTATGCTCAACTATGTGTAGCTACATAGCATGTTTACCATGTGCCAAATCCTGAAATTCCGTTCCTTGGGGGATCCCATAACTTATTCTAGGTTATGTTTGGTATACAGTACTAAGTTAGATTAAGATGGTTCATTTTATCACCTAAAACTATATACAGTGATCCCTTGGTTAACGAATTACCTTCCATAAGAATCTTCAATTCGGTTAACGAAAAAAATTCGGTTAACGAATTCCTTACGAATTCCTCTCAACATGTTTTCGCTTGCTCACCAGCTGGAATATTAGTCCGCCAATACAGTAATCGGTTCTATTGCTTAAATTCGTTCCCATTTGACTAAATATCAAGAAGGTTGTACTATTCAATAATTTTCCAAGTTTTATATTAAAATTTTTAGTCATTTTAACAATTATTTAACATAATTGAAGTACAGGAAACTAGTTTTTAGTGCGCCAAACAGCCACTTGACTCACCCAGCATGGCGTCAGTTTGTGTCTCTGCTCAGTGGAGGTAACATCTTGCTTGAGACTCTCTTGAACATAAACTATTTTTACGTTTTTACAGTACAATTATTGGTCATTCTGAAATTTATTTTACATATTGACAATATATAGTGTAGTGCAGTGTTGATTTAAAGAAAATAATCTTGAATTACACCTAGTGAACTAAAAATTTTATGGGTGAAATGACGGCATGAAGCATAGGGTGATTTCTCTTCCACCCCCACTTCCTTCTCTTCTCCCTTCTCCTCCACCCCCACTTCCTTCTCTTCTCCCTTCTCCTCTACCCCCACTTCTAATTCCCATCATCATCATCATCAACCAGGAGCCTTCTACATACACATCTCAAAGTAAGTGTACTTTACTGCATTTATTTTTACTTTGTGTGTAATTTTCGGTGAGCTGGAACCAATTACCGAAAATCCCATTGAAACAATGGTTTCGGTTAACGAACGACCTTCTGGAACAAATTGTGTTCGTTAACCGAGGGACCACTGTACAGTACTGTAATGTAGCAGTAGCTGGTAAATTTTCCTCTGTGAAAGGACTCATGTGTATGAACTGCTATCCAGGAAAAAATAACCATAATAATATATGAAATTTGTATATCTTTGTCACTCTATAGACCTTTCATGAAAGAATCTATTTTAAATAGAAAATTGTTCTTAAGTTCCTATTTGATGTGCTATACAATACTGCCTCTCAGGTTTACATTCTATAATACTGGAAAAACAGTATTACACCTAAACCAACAACTTGAGGAAATTTTTCTTTATGTTTCTATATTTTTCAATATAATTTTCAACACTTATCAGCTTACTAGCTGTTCAGGTGGTTGGTCTATCCAGTGTTAGTACAGGGGACCAGGAAACCTGTAATGTTCGGTAGGGTCACACTGGATAACAGCCTTCGCATGTGTGTCCAGGCCAAGGCCTGAACCCTTGACGTTATTGGTGAGTTACGCACATTACCGCTGTACCACCAACAAGAAAGGCCAAATAAGTTAGGGAGAAACGATATTTTTTTATTATTATGATTTTTTTTCATATCCTGTACACTAAAGAATGGGTATTTGTCTAGCACGTAGTCAAAGAATACAGTAAGGGACAAAAAATCATAAAATTAATACAGTACGTATTATGATAATCTTATTCTTTCCTAATTTATGGGGTTTCTCATGAAATAAGAAATTCATCACCTTCTCTATAAGGTTTCCTCAAGTTGCTGGTTAAGGCCCACAACCGACAAAAAGTAGTATTACCTATCATCTATTGAAACATTTGTCAAGTTGCTGGTCTAGATGCTCTACAGTCTTCCAATATTACCCAAGGTTAATATTTAGAAGTTGCCAACACCTACTTATATACTGAGTCCCTCTACTTCAAATCCCAACCCACTTTGAACAACTAATATTGTGGGTATTTTTATAGATTAAAATACTTAAAAAACATAAATTTCCGACGGAAACTCTATAGAATAATTTTTTTTCTTTCTCTCTTTTTAAGACTCAATACATAAGGTGTTGGCAATTTCTAAATACTGTATTTACCTTACCCAAGATGGTAGTTACTCCATCATAAAATGGAAACCATTCTCCTTCAGATACAGTGTATCATCACACAGTACATTTACAGGAAGATTAAGCACACAACTGAAAAAGGTATTGCAGTTTCAACCACAAGTGCAATTTTGTGTTTACCATTAGTTATATCTTGTCAATAAGAACAACTTTTCTAATACCACTTCCCTTGCAAATGGATATTAAAAGAGAAAGTAAATTCACATAGAAATTAACGTAAATCTGCAGTCGCCGCGTGTTCTGTTTGTTTACACCAGACCTGTTCAGTCTGAGTTTACACTCACGTCCACAAAAAAAACTAAAATTACACCATGATGCTTCAACAAAGCTGCTTTCATTGGTACCAGATATCAAAATAAGTATTTTCTGTTGGCAATTATATAGGACTAACCCGCAGCCGAAATTGATTTAAACTATTATAAAAATGCCAGATTTTCACTGTTATTTTATAGTGGACACTGTTTTAGTTTGGGCAAATGTGTTAAAAAATGGATAATTTTAAATTAATTGTTACTTAACATTTGTGGGTATGAAGAAGAGACCTAACTAACCTTACCTAACATTCTCACCGCCCCCCGGTATATTAAACAGAAAGAACTTACTCATATGTTGAAATTTTAGGCATTTTCTGGACGTGAGATTTGTTATTGAGATGGCGGGAAACGCGAGCCACAAAATCGATGAAGTAATGGATGATTGTTTCCAAACAACAACTGAATTAGCACACAAACCCAGTTCTATTTCACAGTATTGCTGTGAACAATACTTTCTACCTAATGGAACGATGCTGTGGTCTTTGAAAAACTGAGGGGTCTCATTGTCTTTATCCCTAAATTCGCAAATTACGTCCATAAAAGACCGGCGACAACCTTCACACGTCATGCTGAAAATAAAACTGCCGCGGGGAAAAGACGAGATTCCTCTCTTGAGCGCTGCCTAATTACCGCCGGCAAGACAAACTAGTGCGTGCCTAGGCACCTAATTATCCATGAAACGAATAACTTCCACAGGAAATGATTATCATATCACAACTCACTGATGAAAATAATGCAAGAAAATAAACAGTAATGAAAATAACTCGTCGGCGGATTAGTTCTATATATTAACCATTCTGTTTAATATAGAGGGAACGGATAAGAAGTTAGGCAAGGTTAGGTAGGTTTCTTTGGTTGGTTAGGTCAGGTTGTATAGGGGGGGGGGGTGATAAGACCAAAACGAGTCATTTCCGACGGAAATGAAGGTCAAATTCGAATGAATCACACCAAATACCATGGGAAAACAAAGATTTGTGGGTGAACAGTAGTTGTGGCTAAAACTGTAAATTTACCCTGGCAAATATATCCTCAGGATTATATTGCAAATTAATGTATTTCTAAGTCTGGAAAAACACAAAAATATGCACCCAAACATAAAGTAAGTCTTAATGTCTTCCCTATGAATTACCGTCATTAGAACAATTGGGTAATTGAAGAAAAATTTGACAATAATGATAATACTCACCCAACCAGCCACAGATCATACAAGAGAGACTCCTCGTGTTTGTTTACTTTGTTATTTTACGGTGAACATAATAGTGTCTGCTGGCCAAAACATTTTATAAATCATTTATTTGTCCATTTATAACATATTTATTCATTAATTTATTACATAAAACAACACAAGCTATTAACTATTATTATCTTTATTTTTATATGATGTTATAATATTTCACACCGTTTTAGTATAAGATAATAAAATTAGTATAGGTTATTTTGTACCCGCTACTATAGAGGTGTTATGGTCACCGTGGTTATCTTGTGTACTGACGTTTGTGGAAGTTATTGGTTAAGCTTTTTTATAATACACTTATATGATCATTTAATCGGTGACACAGTGTAATTTCTTGATGCGAACTTGTACTATAGTCATTCCGTGTATGAGGAGACGTTTTTGTATCTGTTGTATTTAGTTTACTTCTTATATGTAGTAATTATAATAAAGGTTACCATTAAGCTGAAAATGATATTCTTTATTTGTAAGTTTTAAATAACTAGTCCCTTTATTTTAATTACTGCAGAAGAGTGACTATAGTTACTTTCCTAATGAAAAGATTAGTAGTAGAGTACAGTCAATTTTTTACCGTAAAGTTTAGCTTCGGTGCTCAGTTACTATATCTGTGGCCTTGAAGACCAGTAGGTAGGTGTAGTGCTTATATTGTGTAGTGGTAGTTATATTATTGTAGTTTGATTTTTTCAACATTTTGTAGAGGATTTGTATTTCAAACAGGAGGTAATACTTTTACTTACACATTTAAACCTTACCTATTGGCAGCTAATGATGTACAGTATTGACAAAAAAAATTGCTTCTTACCTCCAGAAAACCAGAATGAAGCTTAGAATTTGTAGTTTTCATTCTTTCGGTGGTACTGGTGACTAACCACAAGAGGAAAATTCAATACAGATGGTAATTTTTTTTTTTTTTTTATCATAGTATTCGCCACTTATCAGCTTACTAGCCGTATGGGCGGTCTATCTAGTGTTAGTACAGTAGGAACCCGGGGACCAGGAAACCTGTGTTACATAACGAAAAGGCCAAAAAAATATGTTATGCATCTCAAAATCCAGATATCAGTGTAAAATGGTCCAAACAAGAGTTTGTTATATATTGCAGTTTTTATAGGTGATTTTAATGATACTGGATACTGTAGAAAGTATCTCATTTTGGGAATTTTGTTTTCCCTGTGAAATTTAGGACCGAAAATTTGTATCGGGCGGCAGATTAATTCAGGGTAGGATGCAAATGCACTACAGGAGGATTTAAATAAACTGCAGGAGTGGTCAGAAAAATGGCAAATGAAATTGAACACCAGCAAGTGCAGCATACTTAATACAGTGGTCCCTCGGTTAACGAGCACAATCCGTTCCAGCAGGTTGCTCGTTAACCGAAACCATTGTTTCAATGGGTTTTTGGGTAATTGGTTCCAGCTCACCGAAAATTGCCTTAATTCAACAAAAAAGGTAAAGTACACTTACTTTGAGGTGTGTATGTAGAAGGCTCCTCGATGATGATGATGATGGGAATTAGAATGGGGGTGGAGGAGAAGGGAGAAGAGAAGGCATTGGGGTGGAAGAGAAGTCACCCCATGGCACCATTTCAGCCATACAATTTTAGTTCTCTTGGTGTAATTCAAGATTATTTTCTTTAAATCAACACTGCACTGCATTATATATTGTCAATATGCAAAATATATTTCAAAATGACCAATAATTTGCTTGGAAACACAGAAAAAATCATTTAGTTGAAGAGAGTCTCAAGCAAGATGTTACCTCCACTGAAAACAGAGAGAGACTAACGCCTGTCTGGTGTGTTAACAGGCTGGATGGCACGTCAGAAACTAGTTTCTTTACCTTCAATTATGTTCAATAATTGTTAAAATGACTAAAAAAGTTAATATTAAACTTTTAAAATTATTGAATAGTATAAACTTCTTGATATTTACTAAAATAGTAAGGAATTTAAGCCCTAGAACCGATTACTGTATTGGCGGACTAATACTAAAGCTGGTGGACCGCCGTATGCAAGCGAAAAAATGTTGAAGTCGGCTCGTAAAACACTCGTTAATCGAGGGATTGCTCGTTAACCAAAGTTAAGAATCTTATGGAAGGTAAATCGTTAACCGAAATCTCGTTAACCGAGGCGCTCGTTAACCGAGGGATCACTGTATTGGAAGAACAAATACTGTCAATGTATACAGCCTTAACAACATCAACCTAGAGAAGTCAACTTGTGAAATAGACTTAGGGGTACTGTACTTGTAAGCCCGGACCTACGGCCTAGGAAACAGTGCGTAAATGTTCGAAATAAGGTAGAGTACAGTATTAGGTTTTATATCTAGAAGTGTAAGTAATAAGAGTGCAGAGGTCTTTTTGCAACTATATCTTGCGCTAGTCAGGCCGCACCTTGATTATGCTGTTCAGTTCTGGTGCCCTTATTTTAGAATGGATATCAATTCACTGGAGTCGGTGCAGCGAAGAATGACGAAAATGATTCCGGGATTTAGAAACCTTCCATATCAAGATAGATTAAAGAAACTAAATTTGCATTCCCTAGAAAGATGAAGAGTGCGGGGAGATATGATAGAAGTATTTAAGTGGGTGAAAGGAATCAATAGAGGAGATATAGATAAAGTTCTTATAATATCCGAGCAGGATAGGACTCGTAGCAATGGATTTAAGTTGAATAAGTTTAGGTTTAGGAGGGAGATAGGAAGAAACTGGTTCACAAATACGGTGGTGGACGAGTGGAACAAGCTTAGCAACTTTGTAGTAAGTGCGGGAACTCTGGAAAGTTTTAAAAGGAGGCTAGATAGATTCATGGATTATAGAGAGTGGTAGTAACTCTCGACAGGAGTTGCTATGCACAGGCCAACCGGCCTATTGCAGACTCCTTATTTTCTTATGTTCTTACGTTATATTGGGGGGGGAGGTTAGGTTGGAATGATTTGAGTTGGATTTTGTTAGGTTCATTCGAGTTAAGTTAGGGTTAGATTAGGTCAAGGTAAGGTTAGGTTAGGTTACTGTATATTAGACTATGTGTTTTTAATGTTTTTAACCATACATTTCTGTCAGCATCAAACCCTACCTGCTTGTGTAGGAATTTAGTTTTCTTGGGAAATAAAGGGCCATATCTTTGAAACTACTGTACACCTTTTCCCCAAAGTGACTATCAAAACCGAACAAAGCATTAAAAAATGGTCTGGCAAAAAACATTTTTTATGCTAAAATTGTCTGCCAGTGTTAACTGGATTAATGCCAGTTTTGTACCTAACCTAAACTAACCTTGCCTCCCTTGACACCGGTGTACTTAAGTTAATAATAATGCAGTTCTTGGTTAAGATTAAAAGAATCGCATATGGCCTTAACATAATGACATCATCAGCCTCTACCACTCAAAACAAATGCCAGACAAATAGCAGAACTATGTAAACATCCATGACTGCAAATAATCACTGTGTAATAATGATAATTATAATATACTTGTACTTCCATCCTAGGTTAGGTATGGTTTGTTGATGCATCTTATTCACAGCAAATCATAATACTGTAAAGAATCTATCGAAAGCTTAGGGCCAAGAGGCTTCTGTAAAATGAATAATTATATCAAGTGGATACTAACATGAACAAGGATACAGTACAAGGAAAGCATGTTATAAAACATAGTAATATTTTGAGTGACATCGTGTCATTAAGAAGAATTAATATAGCTTCAATTCAACATTGGCTGAAGCCTTAAGAGAACTTCATTAATTATCCAGCATTCTGTAGAAGAAAGGTAGATTTTGTAGGAATGGCATGAGCATTGTTATTAATGTCTACAAAGCATTGGATAATGTTCCCTAATGTTCATATACTAAACAAAATTGGCAGCAACGGAGTTTGTTTATGAGAAAAGCTTGGTACATTGCCTGAATAAGAAAATTGGTATTCCTCCACCCAATTTGCTTTATTCTTGAAGTATGAAATATGTATTCTTCTATAAATATTTTACAATAAGTAGCTGGTTAACCTGGACCATTGACCTTAAATATTACCACTTTAATGATGATGCAGTACAGTATCTCTTATGTCTACAAGGTAAGAAGGTTTGATTAGGATTGTGTTTTCTTTCCTTATTGGGGTGGTGGATAGACAGTGACCAGATAAAACCCCAGCGGACAAAACCCCAGTCTCATATATAAAATATAAAATAAAACACTTTCATGTTTAGGTTAGGTTAGTGTTGACAAATAACAACCCCATTGGGGTTTTGTCATGGAACCGGATAGACATGTTGGCTCACAAGTAGAACATTCACTGGTAAGCGTTTGTGCGGTGTGTCAACAACAGTTGAAGCTCAGTAATAGTAGCAGACTGGTGTTGTCCAGTATAAATTGGAGAAAACTCGAAAAACAAAGTATGAAAATTACAATTCATACATTATGATTTGCAGTTTACTGGAGGTGAGAAAGATGTTTTCAGATACAATATTAGCCTTAAAATAGGTGGTTTAGCTGCCCAAGTAACAGGAAATATTACCCCCAAAATAACTTATTCTCAATTATTTTATAAAGATGTATGTAGAAACTATTTATACATAATGTAGTATCTAATATCTATAAGTATTGTAGTATATGTAGCTAATAGCAGGAAAAATCTATCAAGATGTTTCCCATATTGCTGTAAGACTAAGGCAGTGTGTGTTTATGTCTAGTCATGCATAATAATGTCGGTTATTTGATAATTTATTGCAGGGTATATTTAGATGAAATTGATACAGGTATACTGTACCTTAATTTATGATAGGGTTGTATTGGTAAAAACCTTATCATAAACCAAATACAATGCTGTAATTATAAATGTAATCTTATTTATCCATTGATTATTATTATTATAAATTAGCAGATATGCTCCTCAAAAAAAAAAAAAACTTCTCCAACACATAATGAAATGACACTTTGCAATGCTATTTAAATGTGTACACGCCAAAAAATATACAGTATATATATAAAATCCTTTATACTTTGGCCAGCTTCAATGTGCCATATCACCTCAACTTTACCTCTAAAGTGATGGTCTTGCAGGGTCTCATACAACTACCCTGGAGGTGTTGCTGCTGCTAATTTCACTTGCTGGTCACTTCCTTGTTATGTCTAAAGAGGCAAAATCATTTGAAAAATGTAAGAAATTGTGGAGTTGTATTGATGTTCTGGGGCTGGATTCGAAAGATTCCATTGAACTTATTAACAAGTTCATGGTAAACTTGATCTTAAAACTGAAAAGCTATTACAGTATAACTAAGAAATAAAAATTTTAATTATTTATAATCATAAAATAGAATAAAATTAAATATATACAAATTTAGAAATATCTGTACATGCACATGATTTTTTTTAAACTCTACCTTTTCTATTACAGTATAGTACTGTACTGTACAGTAAACCCTCACTGACGGCAAGTTTACCATCCTCGGCTTAGAGTACTGTATCCAAGTTTTATATACTGTACTGTATTGCAAACCAGTTTACTAATTGTTTTATCCGGTATTAAGTATCCTTGAGTTTCAACAGCCACTGCAGGAAATTTTTGGTTCCATTGCAGCAGGGCCGAAGGGCACCCAGGATCCTGGCACGGGCCTCGATGGTTGTGGCTGAAATATACACAAGTGAGCTCACAATGTCCCCTACATTTATTGCACTCTCTCGGCCTTCCATGCTTGTTCTTGCAGCGACTCTGACCCTGCGAACATCCCTATGATGCTGCTCTCAATATATTCATATTAACTCTACATATTATCATTTTTGCCCTGAAATATGGCCTCAAAGCATAAATCAAGTGATATGAGTGGTGCTACTCCAAAGAGGACGAAAAAGGTAATTTCACTGGAACAGAAAATGAAATTCCTTGCTGGACTTGCACAGGGTGAAAGCGTAACGTCTGTCAGCAGGCATCTTTGTTCTAATAAGTCAACTGTGAGAACTGTAAAGAAAAGGGAAGATACCATTAGGGCGAATGTGATGGGAAGCGCACAGAAGAACACCGTGACATGTATGCTCCTTGTCAAGAAAAAGCAGAGAATGCGCTCTCTTTGTGGATCGAGGGTATGGCACAAAGAAAAGTGACTGAATAGCAACATGACCTGCAGGTAGAGCATGCTCGTTATTAACCTTTCCGAAATCTCAACCCTTACCTTACATGTCAGTAGCATGTGGTGGCCTGTGGAGAGGTTAGGGGGGAATGCAATTTAGAGCAGACGTTGTCGGGGGGATTGTCGTGCCCAGGCATACAGCAAATGGTGGGGGGAGGGGGGGGACTGCTCCATTACACTGTTTTTTTTTTCCATTGCCTGTACAGTGTACTGTATAGTATTTTTATAGTGTTTAGGACTGTAATAAACTTTTCAATACAATACTGTATATTGTATATACTGTATAGCATACACCATATACAGTTTTTACTTTTAACCATGAGTTGTACACTGCTGTACGGTATAGGTCCTTAGGTGTGTCTCTCACGGGTCACTTCTTCAAACCCTTTATTTCCCATCTGACCCAGCCCTTGCCAACCACGGGATAATTCTAAAACGTAACCTCTGTGGTTGGCTTGTGATTACTGAATAATTTCCGGACCTGAAAAAAATCTGAAAAAATCTTTCGAAGACAAGTGCCTTTCGCCTTCAACATTTTTTTTTTGCAACTGGAGCATGCCACATGATAGCAAGCAGGATATAGTGCAAGTAGCACCACCTGCAAAGCCCAATAATGGTTTGCTCAACTTCTACCCAAATAAATTGCGCATTTACAATTAAAGACCACATAAAGAAAGCTATCTGAAAAGTGCACCACTTTGATAAAGGATTAACTTTTACTAACTCAATTCGTCAACACAAGATTATAAATATAATATTTTCTTTTTCTTCCAGGTAAAATGGCATCTGTCAGCCCAGAAGAAACAGTGGAAAATGATGCCATGCCAAGGGAGCTGTAAGTAATAACTACCAAAACTTGTTACAGTAAAATCCCATATTTATGAAGAAATTTGGGACTAAATTCATTCCATATACTGTACAGGTAAAATGATTTTCCACAAAAACAATATTATGTAGTACAGTAGAAAGTCAATATAACACGAGATACTTTCCAAGAGAGGTCGCTTTAAACCGAATTCGCACTAAATCGAAGTGTTGTTTCAATGGAATAATTTAATTTGGTACTTGAGGGAAACACAAAATACTAAAAAGACTGAGAGTCTACCCAGATGTACCTCAGCCCATCTCCTAGAATAAACAAAACATTTTTTTTGTAGTATTATGTTAACAAACACTCATAAATCAACACAGCTAAAATTATGGTATGTGAAATGGTCTGTTTACTAGGGATCAGCTTATGGGAAGATGGGGAGGGGGGGAGGTGAGGTGATATGTTTGACAGTTGATGCCAAGGTCTAGTGCTTATTTATTTATCTGTCCTTAAGAGTGACTAAGTTTTTCTCATATAAAATGTCACTGAACTTTGATGTTCTAATTAGTTTTATTACAAAAGGCTAAAAAATTTATCTCTTGTGCAAAATATATGACATTTATATTCAAATTATTCGCTGTCTTGCAAGGATTCTAGCAGTGCAAATTATATTCTCCTAACTTTAGTATGTGATATTATATAAAATAACAACTGTAAGCCTATAACCACCCAACCCTTGCTGGGAAGATGGGGGGGGCGGGTGGTGACAGTGACACGTTTGACAGCTGGGGCTGAAGGTGTAATGAAGTATTTATTTGTTTATTTGAGTTTTTGCTTTTTGTTTATAAAATGTCACAAGTGACCGGGGAGAATATAATTTATATTGCTGGAATTCTTATACGATAGTGATTAATTTGAATATAATCATGATATAGTTTGCACTTGACAAAAATTTTAGTAATCATTTACAGTATAGTCTGGAATTACACGGATTTTGTTTACGCGTTTGGTCATTTACGCGGTGCCTTGCCAGAATGAAATGTTTTAATTACGCTGTAAATTTCATCATTTACGCGGGAAGCAGCGCGGGCAGGGTGCACACAAGGTCGCCTGGTCATCAAATTTTACCGAGTTCTTCACCCGCCACCCACCACAGCCGTTCCCAAGTCAGTGATAGTGACGATATGGACTTTGAGGGGTTTGTCAAAGAGGCCCTGCAAGCCTTTGTGGTGGATAGTGATACAATTGATACAAGTGATACAGGTGAGGGCCAATAATCTGCCCTCTGCCTCGGAACCAACCGCCCATCCCCGTGTGCCCAGCCATCTTTTCTACTAACGTAAGTGTTAAAAAACCTAATATTATTGATATTTCTCTTAAATATTAATTGTGTGTGCATACCATCATAAAATTAAGATGTTAATTTTACTACAACGTACGTATTGTGTCGGAAAAAGTGGAGTTTGGGGGTCGGCCCAGTCTCTATTTCAATTAATCCCATATGTTCTGTTATTTTGTTTATGCGTTTCTCGTTTTACGCGGACCTCCACGGGTTCAATTGACCGCGTAAATGCAGACTATACTGTAGTACATTATTTTTGAGTACATGTACAGTACAGCTTTGCCCTTAGGACAGTGTAGCATGCCCAGAGAAACATTTGGTGTGAATTTTAAATATGATGCGCCAGATTGACTTGCTCAAAATTGGAAGGATTTGCTTTAAATTAAAACATTGTCCTTAATTGTGGGTGTCGTTTTAAATCAATAATCTTAAATTGAATATCTTTAAATCGACGTTCTCCTGTACTGTACTGTACAGTATACGGTAACCTAAGAATTATAATAAATTCACATACATTTAAATAACATTGGAAATTAAACATGTGGATTTCAGTTTTTCCTTCATTAACAAGTATTTACAGCACAATTTAGGTGTACTGTATATGATTATGTATGATAATTAGACATGTTTATATGTATATACAGTACAGTATTACCTTGTATGCATAAAAAATACAAAACTATTCTACTGTACATTCTCGTTCAAGATTCTTCGAACACTGCTGGAGACAGCTGGCAACTCAAGGCCATTTGTTTACTATAGTACGTAGTAAAAATTATGAACAAATGTAAAAGGTTATCGGTGGTTGGTTACATAGTTCCCTGTTGCTTAATTAATGGTTGGGCTTTGTTGTTTCGCATTATATTATAGTACGTACTATAGTAAACAAACGGCCTTCAGTTGTCAGCTGTCTCCAGCAGTGTTCGAAGAATCTTGAATAAGACTGCACATTGCAGTGAATGTGAACAGTATATTTTCATAAAGACAGTAAGAAATTACTGTACAGGCTTTTACCCACAAACTTATGTGTCAATAGTAGTCACTGCTAAGATTTTAGCTACGGTATTAGAAAATAATCAAGCAAAATCTTGTTTACTGTAAAATTGGCCTTAAATATATAGACACTATTAAACCATCAACACCTGTATGTGGGGACACCATTCCTTAACCTTAAGTGTATTTTTCCTTACTGTATATCAGTACTGTAGAGTACTGTACTGTATTTCCAAAATACTGTACAGAAAATTCCTGAATCCACTTCATTTTCAGTTCCAGGTTTGTTGGATATATAATTAATAAACTACAGTTCAGTACTTGTACAGTACTGTACTTCATTTTTTTTCTTTACCTTGTCTGTGATCCTCGCTACATAAAATAATACTGTGCCATTTGTTTCAGGGCTGCTGAGAGCAAACTGTATGTCGATGTAGGAGTAGATTACATCCCAATTGTGTATCGAGATGAATATAACATCCATTTGCTTGGTTTGGAGAAACTACATCCATTTGATGCCTGCAAGTGGGGGAATGTAATTAAGGTAATGTCCAGTGTTTTGGTATTATATAAACTGTACAGTATAGTCTGGATTTACGCGGTTTTTGTTTACGCCTTTGGTCATTTACGCGGTGCCTTGCCAGAATGAAATGTTTTAATTACACGGTAAATTTCATCATTTATGTTTTTGAGCGGCTGGAGAGGTCCAGACGCGCCCCAGCATTTTTTACTCACGCGGTCCATTCTTGACCATGCGCGGTAAGGGGTGCGCATTAGGTCGCTCTTACGTTATCGCTGATATATGACATATCGGACTGTGATTGGGCCACGCATTCCCTCCGCCGCTAGCTGTGATTGGTCTAATGTAACATGACGTGCCCTGCCACCAGAAGTCGCTGACCTAGCCGGGCCAGTCTTATTGTTCTCAGTCCGCGTATACAGTTCTCTCTTGTGCCCGCTATTCCCCTCACAATGGCTTCCGCTGGACCCCCACCACCCCAGAAAAACCTTGAATTACCTGGACCAAGCCATGATTATGTGAAGGAAATCATCGAGTTGGGGGAGAAGATAAAGCTCATCCTTGACAAAGACCCAGTCAAGCATCGGTATGAAGTGTCTAATAACCTTCTGTCGAAAGTTATGGAGCCGTATGTCCAGATCTATCACGACAACATCAATGCTAGTCGTCAACGTAGTATTACGGACTTCTTCGCCCGCAACCCACCACAACCACAGCCAACCCAAGTCAGTGATAGTGACAGTGAGGATATGGACTTTGAGGGGTTTGTCAGGGAGGCCCTGCAAACCTCTGCGAGTAGTGAAAGTGATTCACCGGAGGGCAACTAATCTGACCTCTGCCTCGGAACCAGCCGCCATCCACGTGTGCCAACCCATCTCTTCTACTAACGTAAGTGTTAAACACCTTTAGATTTGTAGTTTTTTATTTAGATATTATGTGTGTAGCAATACCATCATAAAATTATGATGTTATTTTTACTACAAGGCACGTATTGTGTCGGAAAAAGTGGAGTTTGGGAGTCGGCCCAGTCTCTATTTCAATTAATCCCATATGTTCTGTTATTTCGTTTACGCGTTTCTCGGTTTACGCGGACCTCCGCGGGTTCAATTGACCGCATAAATGCAGACTATACTGTATTGTAATTTATATGCTAAGTGCAAATTGAGCTAAGTACAATTGGATATCCTTTAATATTTGTAACTGCTGAACTTTAACATGTGAAGTAGGGTTACTGTCCAGCACCTATGGTACACAATACAGTACCATCACCCTCTTCTAGAAGCACAGATCATAATCCAATAATTAGTTGTTGATACAGTACTGTACCCAGTACCCCTTTGGTGAAGTTTCAAGCCAAAATGAAATTTATATGGTGTGTTTGTGGTACTATACTGATTGAATGCTTTAATACATTATGCTGTATACTGGTACAGTACAATATATGCAATAAAACAAAATTAAAATAATAAAAACATAGGGTTGAAGTACTATTTCATAATTATCTTCTAGTATTATTACATATGGTAATACCTGTAATGCCCTTCTACCAATGGCCTTATATATGGTCATACAAATGGCTAAAAGTTACTGATTTTCACTTTGTTATTACCTTATTTTGACAATCAAATGCTGTCTTATGTACAATAGGTCTCTACAGAAACTACTGGACTGTATATTGATCTCATTTGTCCAAGTTCACCCACAGTATTGACAGCAGAGAGAAGGATCAAAGTTTGTTGGAGAAATACTTCATAGGCTGCTTGTCTCACTCTGTTTTATTTATTTATTTTAGATTATGCATACAATATGAACGTGGATGATCCCCAGAGTGCTGAGGTGGTATAATCATTTGGAAAGAAGTAATGTGGAGTGAATTGGATAGATTGATTTATAATGAATACTGTACTGCACAGAGAAATGCTTAAGGCAGTACAGGGGTGTACTGTATAGGAGGATAGAGTAATACAGTACAGTAATGTTAAAATGTGATGTATGTTGAGGCTTCCTACAAACCTTCCTGCGGTAATCTGGAAAATACCAACTGGATATAAATATAGAATTTTTTCCTCATTTTTGAGCATCTAAAATGTCATTACTGTACTGTATAATATCATGATGTATACTGTATATGAGGCATCTAACATAGCACAGACAAACTAAATAAAACATAGTTTTGAATAAACGAGCATCAGATCGGCACGATTTCTCCTCACACCACGTGGAACACACTACCCTATATTTCAATGGCCAGATAGAAAGATCAAGCCTGGAAAATTTTAACATAATAGAAAACAGATTTTGGGGGAGTGGCGAGTTCGTCTCTGCTATGCTAGATGCCTCATATAGGTGGTGGTTGGCTGCTGCTCGTTTTATAGATTGTCTGTACTGTATTATTTCAGAATTTAAAGAAGAAAAACCTCCTTAAAGGTCTAAACTTAGCAACTCCCAATGAAGCAACAGAGGCTGACCTAAGGCTGGTTCATTCAGCTTCATATCTAAGAAGTCTCAAGGTAGGTAAGCAAATTTATGTAAGTGAAATAGACAACATTGGGATAATAAGAGGCCACATACTGTACAGAGAGCCCTTGCTGTCAGGATGGTTTTTATTAATTTGCAGATATTTTCCCATGACATGACTAGATGACCAGAACCAACAGAAGACACAGACTCTTCCTCCATTCACTCTCAGTCACTCATTCTTACTGCTGCAGCACATGTGTTTTGTTTTGGTGTTTCTCTTCTACAACAAGCCCCAAAAATATCCCTTTGGTCCATCACTGTTGCTTTACACAGCCTACCATCACCATTTATAAGCACATCCATCCCTAAAACCACTTTGCCATGCTCTTCTCTCATTCATTCACACCATTCCTTACTGGATGCTTACCAGCCATCATTTTTTCTACATCCTTCATCCCTTCCCTTCATTTCTTTATTGGTCTTATCATCTCCCCCTTACCCCCCACTTCTAAATTATAATGTAGATCCTCATAATTTTTTCCACAGCATGTGCTCAAAATAAGTTGAGGTTGTCAAATATCATAGTTGTGAGTTTTGATGGCCCCATCACCTAAGTACTGCCCGTGTATTCACACCACAGCAATCATTATGATTTTGTCCATTGGTTTCTGACTCTTCTTAGTTATTTGCATCAGTTTTTCTTCCATTACAAATCACTTTATCACGCAAGGCCATATTTAGGGGGAGGGGGGGATGATATTCCCCTCCCAAAATTTCAGCATATTTTTTAACTGGGACGGCCCCTCGACCCAAAGTGGGCCATATAAACTCCTATTAAGGAGTGTATCTTAGTGTTGATGGAGACACACTTATATGAATAGGCTATATAATCTTATAGAATCCTTTGAATATCAAATACTATTCAATTGAATTCCAATATGGCCACCAGCTCTGTACTGGACACTGGGTTATTTTATTACTTAAATCATAATTTTACCTTGAAAAATACATAGTGAATTGTGGGTATAAATTATTCTATACCAAATAATATAACTTGGAGAAAGGCATCTGGCAGTCGTATTATATCGTGTTTGTGGTATATAGCATTTATCGACTGAAAGCCTGCAACTCCCTGCTGAATTCTACTGAACATACTGAAAGCCTGGAACCTTCTGCTGAATTCCACTTAATATACTGAGTTAGTGATTTTCTTCTTCTCCACCAAATTTTGTGTAGCGTTATTATATTATACTGTATATAATTGTAATAGCTATATAATAATACTGTATGTAATAAAATGTAAAAACATGTGATGAATTGGCTAAGCATGAGATGGAATGATAGATGCTTATTATACAATTACACTTACACAAGTACTGGTAATCCCAGTGGACCCCAAGAGACAGTTGAAGTTTCAGTTGGTGTGGTTGGAAAGATTTCTCTGGCTGGCTTATTCTAAAAAACTTGAAGGTGGCTTTGTAAGAGACCTTAGTTTAACATCTAACTTCAAATACAATGTTATTGCATTATTTTTTATTTATTTATGTATTTTTTGTGTGTGTGTGTGTGGGAGAGGGGGTGGGGGAAGGGGGCACTTTTCCTAGCAGTGCCACTCAGTGGCCTTTTTCCAGACACGTTGCCCTCTAATTAAAGGTTTGAAATAATGAGATGAGTGGTCAGAAAACCATGATTGATGTAAACAGAGTGTGGACCAAGCTGTGCCACATGTGATTTATGTAAACAAAGTACAAAATAACCTAAGGCTGACCATGTGACAAGTTCTTAACTGCATTTGTTATTTCTTATCTACAGTATGTTGGTCCTTCAGCCCTAGTTTACAATTATTCCAATTTCTTTTCTAGATCATCATAATAAAGTTTTGGTGTTTAAATATAAATTGTTCAAGTGCAAATTTGGCATTTCAAAAGTCAACATTTGCAAGCAATGACTTGAATTTATATCCCAAATTAATATTTACGATCTTTGTACCCCTTTTCCATTACAGGAATATCTCGTTATTCGCTACCCCGCTCATCCGCAATTGATATTTTAACATCCCTATTTGACATTTACAAAGCATACCTTGCTTATAAACAAATAAAAAATTACTGTACCCTACAATAATATTTCAAACCGGGCAGGCTAGCAGCAGCTCTCATATTCCGATGTAAGGCTCACTTCACATGAGCGTTTTTTTTTTTTTTTCCGTCCATGAGGATCCACACTGTTTAGAAAATAATGAAGTTCAGTGGGACATGCTCAGGAAAATTCATGCGCGGGAGATGCTCACCCCACGCCTGTACCTGTTCTTTCAAACTGCGGCTTGAAAAGGTACGCCGAACAGTCTAGAATTCTTCATACAGTATAGCAATGGTAAACGTTAGTTTACCCTGTAGTATATGTTTACACTCATTTACAAATGTCACACACACACACACACACACACACACACACACACACACACACACACACACACACACTTATGCACGACTCACACTGTTTTTGGGTTTTTTGCATTATATAGTGTACCTGTATATCAAAAAATATGTGGCAATAAAACAAAAAACATGAAGAGCATAGGTGTGTATATATATATGATATTAATGTGTGTGTGTGCCTGGACTTGGCAGGTCACCTTATTAGTTTGTCCCTGTAGCTACATCCCTCCCTAACTCTCCTCCTACCAGGTGAAGCTTTGTTATTGATATTTTTCACTCATAATTTCAAGTAGATATACAGTATATATATTTGTTAATTTTTTTACTGTTACATGCACACACAATTGTTCATTCAGAATGTTAAACAAATAATTAAGATAAAAGAAATGATTATCATAGGTCAAAAACATAAAAAGAATAAAGATTTCTTTCTTCCACGAGAGTAAGTGTACAGATTGTAGGAGAGGCAGAGGAGAGTAGGAATTCGACTTCCATCTATTGGGTCAAGCTGTGAACTGCGTTATTGTTATTTTTGAACTTGTAATTTCAAGTACTGTACATATATGTAATTTTCTTAATTTTTTTTGACACTGTTACAAACACACAGTATTGTTCATACATAATGAGTAAAAGAAAATAAAAAATTTGATTACCATAAAGTCAAAAAACATAAAGGAGTAAACATTTCTTACATGTGTGGTAGTTAACCCACAAATTGTGGGAGGAGGGAATAGTGTTGGAGATCATTGCCGCTCCAATCTCATGCATGTAGTGTAATCATTGCCAATTGGCAATGCAATATTTTTCTTTTATACTACAGTATTTTATTTATTATTGTAATTTTTATTTATTCCTCACATTTACCGGTACTGGTACTACAGCATACTACTGTACATGCAAACTCGGTCCCTAATAGCCTTGGATAATGAGGTGTGTACATGTACTGTATATAAAAAAAATACATTAGCCGGGAACACATCCCCCCTATTTACAGTAATTCTTACATGGAAAATTGGTCCAATATTCACAAATTAGTTATTCTCAATGACTTTTAGGAAAGTATCCCTTGTGATAACTGGAGTTGTAACCGCCAATCAGGCGGTTAGAGGATTTAGTGAAACTTGTGACGTTGGACTCAAACATTATAATTTGGTCAAACCTGTTGGATGCAATTCCTTTTAGTATTTCACATAAAACATACATAGGCAATCACATAAATGTCTAATCCAATATATATTTACAAAACAATCATAGCTATGTAATCAGTCTAGTCTTAACACCTATAATGAGTACTTAAATTTCTTTATTTTATGTCGTCACAATGATAAACGAAGCAATGGACACAGTCTACCTGTGTACACAATAAGTACCAGTTAAACTTACGTGTTGAAAGTCTCAAGAGAAACCAGGTTAGGTGTTGTCTCTGTGGTCTGAATAGCTAGTGATACACCATGCCGCCTCCCCAACCCTCTCTCGATGGGTGAGGGCTGCTGAGTCGGGTGGTTATACACACACAAGCTCCCTTACTACCACCCAACACCTGGTACTACCACCCAACACCTACACACACAAGCTCCCTTACTACCACCCAACACCTCACCTCCTCTAGGTCTCTCATCTTCAACACTCTACACACTGTATACGGGCAGGCACACCCAATAAACATGACATGACTTACAGCCTAACATAATGTTTGTTTATGTGTCATCCTACTCATTGCTGCTTGCGGTAACAGGAGTTTTCATATATTTGTGATTTTACCTCTTTTCCTGCCCCCTCTTTTACACCAGAAACTGGGTGGAATCTTGAGTATTAGAGTATTTTGAATTTTTGGCTTTTGAGCTTTGAGTGTACAGTATTTGCAGTGGTAGTTTTTATTTTGTTTACTTTATGCATACAAATACTACAGGTATACTGTACTGAACTAAGCATATAATATAGTAATAGTTGTTGCACATAATCTCTTTCAGACAAGCAACCCTTAACTTTTACATGTATTCTTGTGGGATTATTTATTGCACTTTGCACAATTTTTTTATGAATATGTCTATTGTGTTAACTGAGCAATAACTGGCACTATACTTGAGTACAGTACCCTGTAGTACTTCTTGTCAATAGTCGTTTTCTTAATTTTTAGTTAAAGTACAGTACCTGGATATTATCTTCTATTTTACCAGTGATTTATAATTGTGAAATTAACCAGTTCCTCTTTGCTTAGGTGGTGTATGATGTACTGAAAATTCTATTACAGTATCAATTAATTGTTATATTTTACAAAATATTTTTTACACAAGTCATACATGTGAAAACATGTCAATACTGTATGACTTCAAGAGCAACACAACTGAAATACAATTTTCACTTTACAGTGGAGCATCAATGTGGCAAAGATCATTGAGGTTGCTCCGGTAGCACTTGTACCCAATATAGTGCTGCAAAAGAGAGTACTGAAACCATTCAGGTTAGTTTGACTTGATAATCAGATTATTTTGATGTTATTAGTTGTACTGCACACATAAAGTATAAATGCAGATCATTATAAAGTGTGATTAAAGTTGAGAATGAAATAGTATACTATAAATATTAAGAGTGTTTATTGCCCAAGCAAAACTTGAGTGACTCTAGTTACAGTCCACAGTCCAAGGAGATTGAAACCCAGGATCAGGCCCCAGGTATGTGTGTGTGTGTATGTGAATGATACTAAGTAAACATGTCTTTTTTTGCTAACCAATCCCAAAAACCAATCTCTGAATCAGACAGTCCTTCCTGACACTACCTTAAGGCTTATAAGGCAATAATTAATAGCCAGGGGTTGAGCTTTGGATTTTTTTTTGTCGAGAATGTATCACCAATTACATAATGGGAATCAATGGGAAAATGCATCGATTTACGAAAGACCAATTTACAAGAGTTTTTTTTTAGGAATGTTACCCTTTTGTAAGTTGGGGTGTGCCTGTATTGCAGGAAATTTTTTGTCAGATTCCTTATACTCGAGTGTATTTTGAACCTCCATACCCCTTGATTAGCCTCAATTACTAACACTACTGTAAAGTGGTTTTATTTAAACTGACAGGGATTGCTTTCTTCTAATGCTCAAAACTTTTTTTTACCTTTCACTGCCCTGTAACAGTGTTTTAGATGCCTTATGTCTCGATTTTTAGGGCATCTTGGAGCATTCTGTACACCTGATCTTCTCAGTTCATAGGAAAGGGATGTGACGGAGGACTTCACAATGAAATTATCTAAAAATATAAAACAATTGGCCTCACTGTCATATAAGGCCAACACTATTACGTACAAGAACCTCCTGGTAATGAGCTTCAGTACGGAAGGAGATATCAGGATTACCGTACTGTAGTCCTTTATTTTGTCCACCTTTATGTGCTTGTTTTTGTTTCAGTTCATAGCTTAATGAACTAGTACCTGAATGAAATATAAATCAAATACTGTAATGCTCTTTTATTGACTTGGTACAATTTTACAGATATCAGGTTGGAGGAAGTGTCTTGGCTGGGAAACTGGCTATTGAGCGAGGTTGGTCAATCAATGTTGGAGGCGGATTTCACCACTGCTGGGGAAATAAGGGTGGTGGATTTTGTGCATATGCTGATATCACCCTCACTGTGCACTTCATTCTCAACCACTACCCTCATGTGGAAAGAGTCATGATTCTTGATCTGGATGCTCATCAGGTAATGGATAAAAGATTAGTACTGTACAGTACTTTATCCTAATTCACAGATGATTAGTTTTTGTCATTTTATTTTATGTTTGGAAAAAGGGATTAAAGTATTTTGATTGAATGGGATTTTTTTTTACTTTTAATTTTGTTGCAGAATCTGAGTCTTTGTTCAGCCATTTTCTTTTTTATATACTTAATGGATTATATTATTATGTAAAGCATTATAAGTAAAGTTTATGGAAATTTAAATTTTCTTCAGTAATATTTAGTTTTTTATGCATTTTATCTGGATATACCCTTGTAGATAACTGTTTCATATGATGGTTGTGTTATTTTCATCTCCATTTTGTATCAACAGGGTAATGGTCATGAACGGGACTTCATTGGACGAAAGGATATTTACATTCTTGATATGTATAATAAATATATATATCCCAATGACACATATGCAAAAGGAGCAATTAGTCGCAAGATTGAACTATTTGCATACACTGAAGATGAGGAATATCTTGACAGAGTTAATGTGTAAGTTCACTCTTTTATATTTTAACTGATTTTGTCATTGTAAGTAAAATTAGCCACAGCCATAACACTGTATCCTGATAATTACCACAGATTAGCCACCTGCATCACTGTTAGCAATATCTTTTTTATTTATTTATCATTTACCGCTTACTATATACAAGCACTCCCCCACATATGACAGGGATACGTTCCTGGACCCTGATCATAAGTCGATCTGTTCATAACTTCGTCACAAGTGTGTGACTGCATGGTAGTGAGTTAAGGATCAGCTGTTGAGGAGTGCTTGGCAACACTCCATCTCTCTAATCATCTGCACCTTTTTGCTTTCTGGCTCTATATTTTAAAACATTATGTATTGTAATACCTGACACAACTGAAGATTTACAGACAACTTTCTTTTCACATTTGCCTAGTTATACTCATCACTGTGACCACCAGGTTACTGGGCCAAGCTGTGAGGCATAATGGTTGTTTTTCGACTCGTATTTTCGGGTACATATACTGTACATAATTTTCTTCATCTATTTTTACTCGGTTACATGCACACACCATCCTTCATACATATAGTGAAAAAAAGGTACTCTCCCATAAGTCCTTTTTTTTTTTCTTCTTTTTACAGGGAATAGCCCACCCGTGCACAGGTTATTGACCCACAATGGGATTTGGAGGGCGAAAAAGTAAAAAAAAAAAAAAATGGGGAAAAAGAGACCATGTTAATCTACACCATGAAGATGCCACAAAACCAGCTTTTTGAGGTGAGATAGATTGTAAGAGGTTGAAAGCACAGAAGGCAGAGCATTCCGCAATTTGGCTGTGTAAGGAAAGAAGGATGTACTATAACAGGTTATTCTAGTGTGACCGACATCCACACAGAAACGGTGGGCACCACAGACAAGACAAGTGTTACGAGCCCACAGCATTGCCGGCAGTACGCAGGATGCCAAATCCACTGAACATTGCAGTGAAGAGAATAGGAAGAGAAATTATTGACTATAGGAGGAGAGTTAATAAGACGAAATGCCTTTGATTCCATCCTGTCTAACAGTTGGACAGGAGAAGAACCACCCCAGATGTGAATCCTTTATAAACTTGAAGCAGCTGCTCAGGAGTGAAGTAGCTACGGCATCTGTACAGCATTCCCAACTTTCGGAAGGCAGCTTTAGCAATGTTGTGGATGTGTGGCTTCCATGACATACTAGAGGAAATGGTGAGGCCTAGCATATCTATTTTAGAATTGGGCAAAATGATTACACCCTGAAATTTGATTGGTGGAGATCTTCTATTTTGGAAAGTGTAATTGGTAAATAAGTACTGAGCTTTATTACTATTGAATTTAACAAAAGTTTCTACCTTCCCGTTCAGAGATGCTGCACAAATCCGCTTTGATAGATGAAACAATATCAGCTCTGGAAACAGATCTAGTTTGAGAGTTAAGGGGAAGGATAAAATAAGTAATAGTTTGAAGTAACTCATTGATAAAAAGGAGGAAGAGAGTAGGTGAAAGTGACCCCTGTGGAACACCACTAATGCCATGGATCAGTTCTCAAGGAAGCTAGAAAAGAGAACACAGTGGAGGAGAGAAACCATAAGAGGGAAGTTTAGAAAGCTTTGGAGATGTCGAGGACCACGGTGAAAGTTTCCCCATAATCCCTAAGAGAGGATGATCAAATATGGGTGCAGTAGGGGATCAGATCACCAGTAGATCTCGCCTGGTGAAAGCCAGACTGGTGAGCCGACAAAAGAGAAAGGCGTTCAAGGTGACGGAAAAATGGGTTTAAGATAGTTTCAAAAATTTTAGAGAGGGATGAAGTCAGGGCGATAGTTAGAGGGATTAGAATGGTCACCCTTCTTTGGGATGGGATGGGCTGAACTGAGGAATGCTTCCAAGAAGAAGGAAAGTTTGGATTTTTATGCAAAGGCAATAGAGGTGAGCATACACATTACACAGGTGCCAGAACTTCAGCACACTCCCTCAGTACATTAGGGGGATATTCCGTCTGTTCCATGCGCCTTATTCACATCCAGATTGGATAATACACTAGCAACCCTTTGATTGGAGATTATAGGAAAGTGCATAAGTTCAGTAGGAGGAGCAGGAGTAGGAGGGGTTGAGCTGGAATCATCTAAGGTAGATTTAGAGGAAAGTAAGGTGCCAAAGAGATTGGCTTTATCAGAAGGAGAGTTGGTTATAGAGTTATCAGGTCGGAAAAGAGGAGAAAATAGGGACTGCAGAAGTTTTTACAAATGTTTTTGGCTTAGGGCCAGAAAGATTTACTAGAAGAAGAGTTAGTCAGGTCAGCCGTCTTTCTTTTTATAAAATTCCACTTGGCCCTACAAAGAATAACCTTTCAATTATTCCTAGAATAATAAAAGAGGAATGAGTAACAGGAGAAATAAATACAATAGTTTCATAACTTGATATGCCCTAGCTCTCTCCCTACATGCAAGAGAACAGGAGCAATCAAGCCATGATTGTAAAGTTAAAGTTTTGGTAGAAGATGGCGTAAATGCACTCATACCACCGAGTATAACTCCAGCAATGCTGTCAGCACATACCGAGGCGTCCCGAGTGGAAAAGCAACATTCATCCCAGGGAAAGTTGGAGAAGAATTCTCGCAAAGATTGGCAGTGTGCCCTCCGATAGTGCCATAGTTAGCATTTAGAATGGGGTGGGGGAGGTGGTCATGCCCAGTTTGATTTAATAGAAATAAAATTGTGATCAGAAGGCCCTAAGGGGGCAGAAATTTAGTATGAATAATATGAGGGATTAGAGGTAAAACAAAGATCAAGAATGTTAGCGAGTTGGTCTTGTTGATCTGGAACACGTGTAGGGTGTTTAATTATTTGTTCTAGATCATTAAGTAACGAAAATGAGAATGCCTCAGATCCACCTGGGTTATTCCTTGCAGAGCCAAGCCACTCTCTGTGATGTACATTGAAATCCCCTAAGTAGTGGATCTCAGGGTTGGGGTGTGTGGATAGCAATGACTCATGGTAAGAAGAGTTGGGAAAACAGTATAGGAAACAAAGAAAAATGACATCATATAGAGAAGATTCAAGATCCTTGAGTCAAGCTAGAGGTGTACGTTGTTGCAGTAGGCGCATACACTTCCCTTAGAACAGAAAGAGATATAAAGGTTGTACTTGGAGACTTGAAAAGGTTTGGGTGAAGCTGCTTTGGTCAGTTGAAGCTCAGATAGTAGTAAGAGATCAAGGGGAAGAGGTTAATAGATGGTGCTCCACAGAATAAAAATTGGATCTCAGGCCGCAAATGTTGGAAAAAATGGAGTGTGAAAAAAGCCAATCCTCCAGCAACCGCGGTGATGTCAGTTGAGGCCCCAGTAGTTTAATGATGGTTTGGTCGACGTTGGGGTCCACAACCTTCCCTACCAATGGTACCCATCTGAGAAGGCCCCACTTTAATATTGTCAACTGATATCATAGAACAATAAAAGAATAGAAAAATAAAACAGATCAAGATTGAGAAAAGATATATATGTTGTGTTGTTAAAGTAAGAGAAACAATTGAGACCCTGCAATTGTGTGTAAATGAAGCAGAAAGTCGGATCAGCATATGGCAGCAGGGTCTACCATTAGACAACATATTATGCTTCCAATATCTTCTCAGGCTGTGGTACCTCCCTGTTTGATAGCTGCCTACTACCAAGTAATTCCTGTGAGATCTAATGTTATGTTGTGGTTATTTTTTTTTACCCGTAACTTTGGGTAGATACTGTATGCGTAATTTTCTTCATTTTTTATTTAATTACAAACAAACTGAATTCTTACATAAGATATAAGGTATTTTTAACTCACAATTTCAGGTAGATATACATAGGTATTTGTTTCTTTTTCTTGCTCAGTTACACACACACACAATCTTTCATATAAAAAGTGCAAAAATAAATATATATTATAAGGTATAAGTTTTTACGTATCTACGGGCTTCCTCCATGAAGCTGTGTGGAGGTCAGATGGTCGGTGGCACAGAAGCTTTTCAAGGCGAGCACCAGAGGCGATTGCGACGCAGTTTGAACACTAACTGGTATCATTTTTGTTCTTTTTATGCCTTCCTTAATGCAATTGATATGTTTTTGTTGTTGATGTTTATATGCCGACAATTTTTTTTTATGTTACAGTGTACAGTGACCCCTCGGTTAACGAACTCAATCCGTTCCAGAAGGTCGTTTGTTAACCGAAAAGTTCGTTAACCGAAACCATTGTTTCAATGGGTTTTTGGGTAATTGGTTCCAGCTCACCGAAAATTTTCTAAATTCAACAAAAATGGTAGAAAAGTTCACTTACTTTGAGGTGTGTATGTAGAAGGCTCCTGATGATGATGATGATGATGGGAATTAGAATGGGGGTGGAGGAGAAGGAAGAAGAAAAGGCATTGGGGTGGAAGAGAAGTCACCCCATGGCACCATTTCATCCATAAAATTTTAGTTCTCTTGGTGTATTTCAAGATTATTTTCTTTAAATCAACACTGCACTGCATTATATATTGTCAATATGTAAAATATATTTCAAAATGACCAATAATTTGCTTGGAAACACAGAAAAAAAGCATTTAGTTGAAGAGAGTCTCAAGCAAGATGTTACCTCCACTGAAAACAGAGAGAGACTAACGCCTGTCTGGTGTGTTAACAGGCTGGATGGCACACCAGAAACTAGTTTTTTTACCTTCAATTATGTTCAATAATTGTTAAAATGACAAAAAAAGTTAATACTGTATTAAACTTTTAGAATTATTGAATAGTATAAACTTCTTGATATTTACTAAAATAGTAAGGAATTTAAGCCCTAGAACCGATTAATGTATTGGCGGACTGATACTAAAGCTGGTTGCCCGGTCAGTGCAAGCGAAAACATGTTGAGGTCGGTTCGTAAGAAATTCGTTAACCGAATTTTTGTTCGTTAACCGAATTGAAGATCCTTATGGAAGGCAGTTCGTTAACTGAGGCGTTCGTTAAACGAGGGGTCACTGTACTGTTAAAGCTATTTCAATGGGTAAATCTAGTAATCTGAATAGAGTCTTCATAGCCAATTACAGAGGGTTTACTGTACATTTTGTACATTTTAAGTCTGGTGCTTTGAATTATGGAGAAAAAATATATCTCTCAACCCCCAGGTCGCAAGAATGCCAGATAAATGGTCCCATACCTATATAGTAATTATATAAACATTACTGTATATGTTCTATGTGTGTTCAGTGATTACCTGTGGAATGGTCACTTCCAGCTTACAGATAGCCTCCAGGAACAGAACCCATCCATAACATGGGTAGTGTGTGTACATCCTATGGGAGGTGTGCAGTACAGTTGGTCCTCATATTACGCGGTCCCGCATTCCGCGTTTCACCGTTAACGCGGTGCCTTGCCAGAACCTAACATTTTCACATTCCGCGGTCGTGAACCCCATTACGCGGAGAGCGGCTGGCAAGCCGCGCCATTTTTGGATCCAAACCTCCCGCCATCCGCCATGTTGTGTAAGAGGCGCGAAAATGGTGCGCACAAGGTCGCCCAGTCATCAAAACATGACCAGTTCTTCACCCGCCACCCACTACAGCCGGCCCAAGTCAGTGATAGTGATAATTATAGTGAGGATATGGACTTATATGAACTTTGGGGGGTTTGACAAAGAGGCCCTGCAAGCCTCTGTGGTGGATAGTGATACAATTGATACAAGTGATACAGGTGAGGGCCAATAATCTGCCCTCTGCCTCGGAACCAACCGCCCATCCCCGTGTGCCCAGCCATCTTTTCTACTAATGTAAGTGTTAAAAAACCTAATATTATTGATATTTCTCTTAATTATTAATTGTGTGTGCATGCCATCATAAAGTTAAGATAATATTTTTACTACAACATAGTTGTGTGTCGTCAAAAAGTGGAGTTTGGGGATCGGCCCGGACTCCATTTCAATTAATCCCATATGTTATGTTATTCACTTTACGCGTTTCTCACTTTCCGCGGTACCCTCCGGGTTACATTAACCGCGTAATATGAGGACCAACTGTATATAATAATTTACTTACTTTATTTACTTGCCACTGATCGACTAGTTACATCTCTGTTATGAACTGTTGGCACGTACTGGTATGATATGCCTTTATAATGCTCACTAATTAATGATAATTTCTAAGGATATTATTACTCTATAAATAAACTTTAATAAAGGTACGAAAATTATAATATTTTTATTAAGGGACTTACTGTGTTGTAATGATTCATATTACTGAAAATATAAAAATGTTTCAAGAAAAATATATTTAATGTGAGGAATAAGATAAAATAATATATACTGTACTGTACCAGTAAATGTGAGGAATAAAAAATAAAACCAATAAATAAAAGAAAAAAATACTGCAATGTTATTTGGCTGCTGGACGACAAAGGAAGTACAGTATTTGTCAATCTTTTCACTACACATGGGACTCAGGAGATAGCTCAGCTGAGATCCCACACTCCACCAACATCCCTCTTTCCCCTACCCCCACTCAGCGTGCTAACTCTCCACCATTGCTTGGATCTATTTATCCTCAAATATTGCGACACTATTTATCATGGCTAGCAATACTCTAAAATCGTCAGTGAGTGGAAAATCATAAAAAGGAAATATATTTGTCTATCAACCAGAAGATCACTGTTATAAACAAACTTAAAGGAGGTGCAAAATGAAGTAAAGTACAGTAATGGAATGTCTGATCCTGTTTTGATTGTTGAAGACAACCCAGATGATTTAGTAACCATGGATAATGAATCCTGTTGTTACAAGGTCCCAATAATAAAATACTGTACTATGCTGTTACATTTAGTGTAATTTTAAGTTTCAAATAAAGATTCGAACAATGGATCTATTGACAAAGCGATAGTGTTGTATTGTTCAGTACTACAGTACATACAGGATGTAGTAAATTTTCTATAAATATGCATAATCATGGCCAACTGGATCTCAAGATGAATGAACATAAGAGGAGTGCTCTATTTCTGTATTTTTTTCACTTTATTTTATTAGCGTTCGTACTTTTTTTTTTCCGGGTATTAGCCCACCCGGGCACAGGTCACTGACCCACATCGGGGCCTGGGAGACGAAAATGTAATAATAATACTAATAATAATAATTACTAATAATAATACTTCATAGCAAATAAAATTTATAATAAAAAATAATAAAATAATAATGATAATAATAATAATAATACAGTGGTCCCTCGGTTAACGAGATTTCGGTTAACGAGTTGCCTTCCTTAAGATTCTTAACTTCGGTTAACGAGCAATCCCTCGATTAACGAGTTTCTTACGAGCCGACCTCCACATGTTTTAGCTTGCATTTGGCGGTCCACCAGCTGTAGTATTAGTCCGCCAATACAGTAATCGGTTCTAAGGCTTAAATTCCTTACCCTTTTAGTAAATATCAAGAAGTTTATACTATTTAATCATTTTAAAAGTTTAATATTAAATTTTTTAGTCTTAACAATTATTGAACATAATTGAAGGTAGGGTCACTAGTTTGTGGCACGCCATCCAACCTGCCAACACAGCATACAGGCGCTAGTCTTTGTGTCTTTTCAGTGGAGGTAACATCTTGCTTGAGACTCTCTTCAACTAAACGCTTTTTTTCTGTGTTTCCAAGCAAATTATTGGTCATTTTGAAATTTATTTTACATATTGACAATATATAATGCAGTGCAGTGTTGATTTAAAGAAAATAATCTTGAATTACACCAAGAGAACTAAAATTTTATGGGTGAAATGGTGCCATGGGGTGACTTCTCTTCCACCCCAATGCCTTCTCTTCTCCCTTCTCCTCCATTCCCATTCTAATTCGCATTATCATCATCCAGGAGCCTTCTACATACACACCTCAAAGTAAGTGTACTTTTCTACCTTTTTTTGTTGAATTTAGGCAATTTTCAGTGAGCTTGAACCAATTACCCAAAAACCCTTTGAAACAATGGTTTCGGTTAACGAGCAACCTTCTAGAACGGATTGTGCTCTTTAACCGAGGGACCACTGTAATAATAATAATAATAAAGAACCATAATTACATAAACGAAAAAACATCAAAAGTGAGAAACAATACTGTATATGTAAGTTGTGTTGTCAATAGTAAGAGAAACAATTGAGACCCTGCAATTGTGTGTAAATGAGGCAGAAAGTCAGATCAGCAACCTGGGACTTGGTCACAATTTTCGTGATGCCATATGGCAGCAGGGTCTACCACTAGACAACACATTATGCTTCCAATATCTTCCCAGGCAGTAGTACCTCCGTGTTTGGTAGCTGCCTACTATCTACTTACAATATGCGTACTGTATATTTATTCTGTTTATGTATATATTCATATCATTAATTTTATATATTCATATCCTTTAACTTATACAGGGTATTTTGTAGCATTTTGGGGATACTTTGCTGTACATATTTATGGGTATCAACAATCCAAAACACCTTCAGTCCCAAGGAATTCAAATTACTGTATAGATACCCTACAGTCCAAGAAATATGCTGTACAAGTCGATTTTATCGATGAATAAAGTTAAATAGTTTCATTAACTTTTCAGTCATGTTGAGGGAGCCCTTAATGAATTTAGTCCTCATGTGGTGATCTACAATGCTGGAACTGACATATTGGAAGGCGACTGCTTAGGTCTTCTCTCCATTACCAAACAGGTATGTTACTGTATAGTATTCTACATTATTGAAGTCCTGAACTTTGCCTGTATGTCTACCCAAATTCCTAGAGATTTATTAAGCACTCCATCCTCATTTGAACCTAAATAAATTATCAGTAACTGCTCACCCCTCCATTTACATCATGTTGCTGTTTTGGTTTTTAATGGTCTATAGCCTTTTGGAGAATTACCAGTTAGATCCAGTACACTGAAATCCCCAGAACATCTTTCCAGTATGATAGGGTATGATAGTTTAGTGATAGGACACATAGTTCAAGTGAGTAAAAAAGTTGCTGCCAATACCAGGGCTGTGGAGTCGGAGTCGAGGAGTCGGAGGAAATTTCGGCTTGTGGAGTCGGAGTCGGAGTCGGTAAAATTGTCCAGACTCCGACTCCGACTGAAGCTATTCTGTTCCTAAGAACAAATATATGAACTCAGGCATATTCATTGCAGTGATTCCACTGATCCCACTAATTTTCTTAAATTATTAAAAGAATTTATTTCCATTTTATAAGCATTATCATGAATTTATTGTAGCAGGCACAGTATAGCACTATAATTTTGGACGATAGTCTCTTCTTTACCATTTGAAATTTTGAATTATATCAAATTTTGTTTCGTTGAAAACTGCACAGAGGCTCTCAGCTACAAAACAATTAGCTACAACCTGTTTTTGGTGAGATTAAGGCAAATTTAATTTAATAACTTAATCATGTAAGGTTTATCCATTTTCCTTAATAAGGTATTCATTTCTTTAATGTACATAAATATATAACTTTACTTTAAAAGGAATTGTAGGATCATCATTTAGATCCACATCAGATTATGAGCTTAAACAAAATTCATATGCTGAGATCGAACTTTTAGATATACATGTAAATGGTGTTTTCTAGTTAATATCTTGAATTCTTAATAAATTTATTTTTCTTTTGATTGAAACTTTGAAAGTCAAGCCTATCATCTTTTTGTAGTTCTTAAATATCGTCCAGATCATTAATAAAGCTGTAGCAGTATAGCCACGGTGTTTTACTTTTTACCTATGCAGGTTACAACATACAAATTACAATTAGGATGGTAGAAATAGTTGTTACAAATAGGCCAAGGAGTCGGAGTCGGAAGCATAAAAATTTGAGGAGTCGGAGTCGAAGGTTTTGTCTTCGACTCCACAGCCTGGCCAATACAACTCGTCACCCAGTCACACCAGAAGGCTTTTGAAATATCCAGCGGGTTGCTTGATGTTTACATGGCTTACAAAGTCTCTCAGTCAGGAGTTAAGTTATATACAACCCTCTTATTCCCATAAACCCAACCCATAGGTGTGGTTTTTTGTTCCTTCAGCCTTTCAAATCTGGAGTAAACCCCCTATATAACGTATTAATTAAGGGGGGGGGGGGCAGTCTGTTATATCCGGATCCGGAATAATAACGGACTCGGTTCGTTATATACCAACATAGTCCAAAGTGACTACTTGGGTCACTTTTCACCATCAACACTCACCATCACCACTAACAATCACCATCACCACTAACATTTACCATCACCACCAACACTTACCATCGCCACCAACACTGACCATCACCACCAACACTCACCATCACCACCAACACTCACCATCACCACCAACACTCACCATCACCACCAACACTCACCATCACCACCAACACTTACCAGCACCACAAACACTCACCATCACCACCAACACTCACCATCACCACCAACACTCACCATCACCACCAACACTCACCATCACCACCAACACCTCACCATCACCATAACACTCACCATCACCACCACACTCACCATCACCACCAACACTTACCATCACCACCAACACTCACCATCACCACCAACACTCACCATCACCACCAACACTCACCATCACCACCAACACTCCCACCACCATCACCACCAACACTCCACCATCACCACCACACTCACCATCACCACCAACACTTACCATCACCACCAACACTTACCATCACCACCAACACTTACCATCACCACCAACACTCACCATCACCACCAACACTCACCATCACCACCAACACTCACCATCACCACCAACACTTACCATCACCACCAACACTGACCATCACCACCAACACTTACCATCACCACCAACACTCACCATCACCACCAACACTCACCATCACCACCAACACTCACCATCACCACCAACACTCACCATTACCACAACACTCACCACCACCAAGATCTTTCTAATGCGTGTATTTTAATATTACTATATTTATTGAATGAAAAAGACAAATATATATTGATTATAACACATATAAAAGAAATGCTGCAGTTTAAATTTTGTCCCCACTTTTATTTCTAGGGAATTATTGAAAGGGATGAGATTGTGTTCCAGAAAGTACGGCAGCGAAGTATCCCAATTGTTATGTTAACAAGTGGAGGATACCAGCGAGTAACAGCAGCTGTCATTGCAGATTCAATAGCCAACCTCAACAAAAAGTCACTTATTGATATGTCCTCCCATTAATGCACTCATTTGCAGTGGCTGTATATAAGTATTTACTCTTCTTTTTCCATATGGCTCCAGTGCAATCTTGAATTTGTATGGTGAGTCAATTATTATTATTTTTTTTATCTTCATTAGTACACTGTATATGTCCATGGCTTTGTGAGATGCAAATATAACATGAATACAGATAAACCTCAAGATACGATGGGGTTACGTTCCTGAAAACCCATTGCTAGGTGAATTATCGTAGATAGGGTGCAATATAACATGGGGTTCAATGGGATACATTCCCAGCCAGTCCCCAAACACACATGTATCACCGACAAAACAATTCCTACAGTACTACTATCAGTACAAGACAATTTAACAACACATGTCCCCTTCGAGGCTAAGGGGGCTCTTGTAGTGGAGTTGAGCCGTCACTCTGACTCCCACACAGCCTCTGTGGAGTCTCATGCTGCTTAACAATGTCAAGCTTCACCTCAGAGACACAGTTGTCTTTGATGCCTTGGCCTTCCCAGACATTTCTAAAGTTATACTGCTCACTTCACAGTCACAAAAATAACAAAAACACTTTTCACAAAAACACAGCAAATGATGATAACAAAAACAATGATAGCGGCTGACACTGCTTACATTTTCAAAACAATAGAGTTGATGCACCTTACACTACAGTCACAAAAACACAGAAAATATCACTTCACAGTCATCATAACACAGTTCAATCTAAATGTTAGTGATGTCCTCTCACTATATGAAAAATAAATAAAACATCAATAATAAGTACCATGTACGATGCTGGCCGATAATCGTGGAGCCATGCGATGGTGGGTTTACATTTGACAAAGAACCAAACTCAGGGCTGTAGTGCACGGGTTGGCTTTGTGGTGGCGTGTGGGTAGGCTTACAAGTGAAGGTGGAGATGCTTCATGCAAAGGATTAAATATTGATTCCTTATAAGTGTCACTGAGTTGTCATAGAAAAATATAATTTGCATTGCTGTAATCCTTACAAGACAACAATTACAGTCAACCCTCACTTTACGCGGTCCCACATTCCGCGTTTCCACGTTTACACGGTGCCCTGCCAGAACCCAGGATGCTCACACGGTGCCCTGCCAGAACCCAGGATGCTTACATTCTGCGGTGGGTGTACCCCTTTACACGGGCGAAGTATAATTTTTTTATTTAGCTCATAAAATTCATACAAATTATCCGGCCAGAATATAATTTACATTGCTGGAATTCTTACAATTTGATGATCATTTTGAATATAAACATCATAGATTTTGCATTAGACATACAAATTTTAGATATAATGTTTACTCTGAGTAATTATGTTATCTTTTGTGCAAAATATATGACATTTATATTCAAAATATTCCTGGTCTTACAAGGAATCCCGCAATGTCAATTATATTATCCTAACTTTAGTCTGATTTATTATTTATTACTAAAAAGGTAAACAGTCTGGTATTCCCAGTCTGGTAGGGAAGGTTGGTGGGGGGTGGGAGGGAGGGAGGGACCAGCGACGGACCACCTGGCACCATGGTGTGAAGAATATTTTTTTTTTTTTATTAACTGAAGATATTTGTTTTAGCTCATAAAATTCATACAAATTACCCGGCCAGAATATAATTTACATTGCTGGAATTCTTACAAATTTGATGATCATTTTGAATATAACATCATATATTTTGCATTAGACATACAAATTTTAGATATAATGTTTACTCTGAGTAAATATGTTATCTTTTGTGCAAAATATATGACATTTATATTCAAAATATTCCTGGTTTTACAAGGAATTCAGCAATGTCAATTATATTATCCTAACTTTAATCTGAGGTATTATTTAATACTAAATGTTAAAATCTAGTTTTTTCACCCAACCTTTCTCTTGAAGGGAGGATTGGTGGGGGGTGGGGGGGAGGGTTGGGACTGACCGCGCGGTTGGAAGAGGGGGGGAGGCAAGTTGGGGTACTTTGATTGACAGATAAGTGTCGTGAAGAATGTTTTTTTTTTTTTTATTAACTGAAGATATTTGTTTTAGCTCATAAAATTCATACAAATTACCCGGCCAGAATATAATTTACATTGCTGGAATTCTTACAATTTGATGATCATTTTGAATATAAACATCATAGATTTTGCATTAGACATACAAATTTTAGATATAATGTTTACTCTGAGTAAATATGTTATCTTTTGTGCAAAATATATGACATTTGTATTCAAAATATTCCTGGTCTTACAAGGAATCCAGCAATGTCAATTATATTATCCTAACTTTAGTTTGAGGTATTATTTATTACTATACCTGGTTTTCCCCCAAAATTTCTCAGAGAGGGAAGAGCCAGCGAGTGTAGTGTGAGAAGAGGGGGAGGGAGTTGAGTCCATTATTTGAATGGACATTAACTTGGCGACTGTATTTCTCTATTTCTCTTAAGTATTAATTGTGTGCATGTACCATCATAAAATTAAGATGTTATTTTTACTAGAACATAGGTATTGTGTTGGAAAAAGTGGAGTTTGGGGGTCAGCTGGTCTCTATTTCATTTAATCCCATATGTTATGTTATTCACTTTACGCGTTTCTCACTTTCCGCGGTACCCTGTGGGTTACATTAACCTCGTAAAGTGAGGGTTGACTGTAATTTGATTATGTACAGTCTCATTCAAGATTCTTTGAACACTGCTGGAGACAGCTGGCAACTCAAGGCCATTTGTTTACTATATTATGTAGTAAAAATTACGAATGAATGTAAAAGTGATCGGTGATTGGTTACTTAGTTCCCCATTGCTTAATTAATGGTTGGGCTTTGTTGTTTCGTGTTATATTATACTTTTCTATTGGTATATACTGTTAATTTTATTTTAAAATGGATAGAGCAATGGGCCAACCTATATGAATTCATGTTTAGACAATTAAACATAAGAAAAATCGGTAAGTATGTTAAAGAACATCATGCATAGCTGCGTGTAGGTTGTGTATGAGGTTGCTTGTTTATCATTAATTTATACTAATATTATTTTCAAACGTTTAATCCCTTTTGGGTAATTAATCCAGTCGTATGTAACCGATGCTAAACAGACTTCTTTCTATAGACGCTGATTTCATGCAACACAAACTGCTGTTTTAATTCGCTGTGGGATTAAGCAGAATCATCAGTTCACTGCTACCTGTAGTAAGTGTGTGTGTGTGTGCGCTTGTGATATTGATAATAAATTAACGGTTTATTAAAATAACATGGCAGCCCGAAGGCTGAAAATATACAATGAACAGAGATGATAAGTTACATATGGTGAAATCAGTGAGTGGGTCACTTAATTGGCAAAAGTTTTCAATACAAAAACATAAGAAACTTAGAGTCAACATAGATTAACTTAGGTCTGGTACTGTGGGAGTTGGTCTGTAGACATTCTTGTGACCTGATGTCGGCACCAACAGAGTCCTTTCCACTGTCTTGATGGCCATTGTACCTGACTGCTAAGCCGCTACCTCACTACAGCTGCAGATGTTTAGCACATCCAGCACGTGGTCCAGGTAGGTCCTTCAGCTCACACAGGGTGTTGGATATGGTTCTTGTTCCTCATGTGATGTAGTTACGAATTCATAGTTCCTCACCTGGGTGGAGTAGGGAGTCCTCATTTCTCTCCTAATGTAGTTTAGAGTCTTTCTTGGCTTCTCATCCAGTGTTGGTGGTGGTGAGTGTACGGCGGACCCTGGGTGTGTCAAGTCCGCGTCAGGTCAGCATTGACCGCTATGCATGAGTGTCACTCTAACAGTTGTTTCTTTCTTTCGAGTTGAAATTGTCACTTTTGTTTATCTCTTGAGGTTGATCGTCAATCTTTGCACTGTACTGTTGGTGGGAGGATGTTGATAAATCCAGATGGGGAGGAGGAGATGGGGAAGGCCTGACAGATCAGGCTGGCAGCTGTCTCCATGGTCAAGAGACCACGGCCGCGTCAGCGGGCAGCACCGACTACACACGTCCTTACCCTATGAAGGCTGAAGGAAGTGTGTGTGCATGTGTGTGTGTGTGCGTGCGTGCAAAACAGTATTATGAAGTTTATTTGATAAAATTATTATTTTACATTCCCTGTGGGGCATTGGATATAGAAATCTATATATAATGTTTTATTTGCGGGCAAACAATCAATAATCGAAAGAAATGTCATTAGAAATATTTAATAAGCAAAGTCTACTCAGATGACATTTGTAATGACAGTTGAGAGGTCTACAGGGCTACAATACCTATGCTACCACAGTAGCTACACCTTCAGTACCACATTTCACTAATTAATGTAATAATTTTTTAATTAATAAAAATGGCAAAGAACCCCTTTGAAATTGACTTTCTTCACAAGCGCGTGTGTGTGTATGCATGCAAGTGTGCCTGAGTGCTGGAGCATTATTGTAAGTTATGAAATAATTGTGAGGTAATGTTGTAACATAGTTTGGTATTTTGGCAAGGATTTCTTCCCATTTCTTATAAATAAATGAAAAGAAAAATATATACAAATACAATTACTACAGTAAAAGTTTTCTAAGAGTACATAAATATATTGTGAACGGCATGACATGAACTTATTAAATATGAGATTATGAGATTGAAATATGATAGATCAATTTCCTCATCATAAGTGTCTTGAAGAGCCGGATCAGACAGCTGTGATCGGATCATTAAATATTGTATGAATTGTGTCGTTACACAGTTGTTTCTTTGTCTCCGTCTCCCTCTATGATTTTTTCCGTGGTAGATGTGGTAATTATTTCGCATGCAATATATTTATCATATTTGATACTATACTCTTTCATAGTGATTATAAGTATAATGTTATGATTTGTTTGACTTACCGGTAAATCATCCTGAATGCATACTGCATAAGTGAGGATATTACAAGAGGATTGTTTTCTTTACATTTATTATACAATTTGACATACCCGTATATTCATGAAAATTATATTTATTTCAGTTAACACAAAAAAAATTAAAATCTATGTGCATTCAGTATGTAACGTTGAATTACAAAGGAAAATTATTTCTGACACATTAATATTTAGTCCAGCCACCTTCATTCTCAATTACTTGCTGCAGCCTGTTGTGAACGGAGGCGACGTCATTGTGTATCAGTTGCGGTTTCCGCCTCAGGACCTCCCACTCACAGTGTTTATGCTCCTGTAGCTGCACGCTGGTTCTCTCTTCAGCTGGCTCCCACACGTTCACAATATTGCCCCAAACGTTCTCTATAGGGTTCATGTCACAACCTTTACTTGGCCAGTCTAAAACTTGCAAATTTCTTTGTTCTGCAAACCACCACGTTACAACCCGTGCGGTATGGACAGGACATTTATCTTTCGGGAAACGGGAAAGCATATGCATGTACCGAGGGAAGCATAGCTTCTTAGAGTATTTCTAAATACTGTTCAGCTGTGAATCTTCCTTCTATGTCAGTCAGCTCTCCAACTCCATGCAAATGTATCCATCCCCAAACATTGCAAGTCACAGGGCCACTCCTTGCTTCCTCATAAATATGCTGTCTAGCATATCGGGTGTTGTTCCTCTTCCAGCAATTCAACCTTCCGTGAGAGGTAGATGAGAAATTTTTTTCGTCAGTGAATATTACTCTCCCCCAGAAATCTAGGCCTCCTTCAGCATACTGTCGAGCAAACTGCAACCTGCCCTCGCGATGTCGCTCATTTTACTTCTCCTTAGTGGCGGGAGTTCTATGGTGAATGCCTCCCTCGTGAAGTCTTCATGATGGTTTCAACTTGTGCAGGTGTTGTTCTGCGCGGCATTCACATCCTGTGGTGGTCCTTTAAACTTCCCTGCTCTTCCCATCGCTTAATCCTATAATATACAGTTGACCGGGCAATTTCAGTGGGTGAAAACCCAGCCTCCTTCATGCCGATTATTCTTCCACGTTCAATGATTTTCTGCGTGTGGTATTCCATGTTGGCAGGGGTCTTCTATAATTGAGGGAGTGGAAGGGTAGTCAGCACTGACAACACCTCTATCTCCCTCATCTTCCCGCCAATAACGTCAGTGTTATATTTATATTTTATAAGGCATTTATAAAAAATAAA